ACATCACTATTCAAACGAGTTACCTCGAAATATCAGGACGCCGTGCTATTCTCATACTTATGGAGCTCAATGTGACTGCCATTCACCATTTATTAAGCAGTAAAAAATTAACTTTGCTTCATGGGTGGCAAAATGTTTCTAATTTCTTGGTAAATGTAGTCTTGCATCATACGAATGTCGTTTTAAGCAATCTGTCCGCATGGGGTGAACCACCAGTAGTAGTGAATGCATAAATATTACCCAAGAAGTAGAAAAACACGTCAAGTTTTTAAGGTTAATTGATGTAAAAATGTTTATGGATTTTTTTCTGCTTCATTATTCGTATTTTCAGCATGTTCGTTGGTAAATTGACAAATTTGTTTGTTAAATCATCGTTTGTATTCGATTTGTAATTTGGGTTTTCATATTTGTTGTTTGACGAGTTTCGCTATCTCTTCCACACTGCTAAAAAGCATTTTAGTGAAACATCATATATTCATATTCAAACAAAGTTGGGTTGTTTTGTATATAAAAGCCCCGTGTGTTCAAATATATATTAGTCTACATTTACGAAAAGTATATGAAATTAACAAAGAATTTTTTGTAATCACAAAAATATGGTTTTGTCAAAATTGCAATCAACTGTTTGTGAACATTGTAATTTGTATTCGTTAGTTATATTTCAAGGTTCAATATTCATTGGTTTATAAGATCATCGACGACCATTCGACGAGATTTTACACAGGAAAAAATGGTGGTCTCGTTGTTTGCATATTAAGTCTCCTGTCACGTGACCTCGTGACTTGAGACTTGAAGTTTGAATTCGTTAACTTGCATTCATGTTCGGTAAGTTTCATTTTTCATTCGCTAAAACAATAATATAGATGTGCTACCTGCAATAAGGCGAAGCTAGATATACAATCTTATTATTCTGAAATAAACACTGTACAAGATTACCAGCCACCACTTAGTGGGTGTTACTAACAGCGGGTTTTTAATTTGGAGCTCGCCTCTGCTTTACTGTATGATGTCACTCAATACACCGGAGTATTCGTATTAATCAAATATAATCGAACATTCTTCCAAGCTCACAATGTCATATCCCTAGACCATTTGGATTTCTTGGAATAGTGCTATATTTATGTGGAGTTTAATGACGGCACATATAGTATACATATACGTATGGGATTCCTTTGTTAGTTTATCACACTCTAAAATGAAGTATCCACATTTTATCGAAGGAATGGGTGGAGGGAGAATTACAAGTTTGAATATGGCACATTGCCATTTGTTTTTTCATTATGCTCGCATTTGATTGTGTACTTTTAACTTTCCTTCTCTTTCAGAAGAGATTTCAAAAGTGTAAGCTTAACTCCTTTATTAAATCAGCTAGAGGCGATAGACTCGACTACCGCTCTGTTCCCACTTCAGCACTTTTAGCAATGATAGAATAGTCTAATCATTTGTAACAGATTGTACCAGGTAAATGATAAAACAAATGATTCATTGTATTGTCAATATCTATGCATATTTCACTAAGAGATATTCCCCGAAGCCCGATAATTTCTCATAAGAAATACAAACAACAGACGAATGCGTTGCTACATTACAATAGGGAGTTTAAGCTTGCATATAAAATCGAAACGCCAACCTATACGTATGACCAATCGCCCATACAAATATATCGCTAAAATATTTTCCGTTCACGTTTAGGTTGTGAAAAACAATGCAAGCTTAAACTCCCTATTGTATGCAAATGGACAGTGCGCATGAAAAGTGTCTGCTTTTCATTCAATCTGAGAAGAAAAAACGGGCAGTATGAGCTTTCAGCTTACGGTAAACCTCGGGGCTGAAAGAACTACTGTAGCCTCATTGTTTCCATGTTTTAAAGGTACAATACAATGTTTTTTTTTATTATTTCATTCTTACGCATAGACGCGAAATTGAGGCCACTGTCCATTCAATAAGCATTAGATAATTACAATATTTACGAACTTTTCAGAGTCTGGGCCCCTGACTGTTAACTGGAAAGTAATGCTTTTAACATATGGTTGTTCTAATAAGAATGTTTCATCTTCAGGTTGATCTGCACGGATGATGGTGAATTACTAAGATTAAATCTAAGCTTTCATGTTGGCGAAACCAATCTGCTGTTTTAGACATACCAATAAGGATCTTTGAGATTTATGGTGGAAGACAATACCCACTAATGAAAGTTATACCATTCTATATTAAATATCACGAATCGTGGTCCAAAAAAGAAAAAACATTTCAAAGAAATCGTGCTTTTTAATATGCAATTATATCAGCACAATACTGATATCTGACAGTGAACAAATGATAAAAAGCTTCACAATTCAAGATTCCGGAAAACATTCAAGCACGATGTATCATATTCAAGCTCTACGTAGGCAAAGCAAAATTGGGATATTATGGTTTGGATTGAAAAACATCATTCATAACTGTCATATTTGACCCCGAATTAAAGTTGGATTATGTTAAGTAATTTAAGATCAACATTGTCACATTTCGACCTCACGTTATTTAACAAGCTGTACTTCTAGAGGGGGTCCTCTTGATCATAACACAGAAAGTTGTAACTAAAATCTCATACTAATTTGTTAGTGTACGACTAAAAGCTATTTTATACGATACAAAGTGTGAAAGAGATAATCGGGTAAGTCACACTCCCAAGAGATATCTTGAAAGAGCAATGCAAAGACTTAGTCTAAACTCCAATCATTGAATGATATGACCTCAAATTACGAGCACCACAGATACAACCCAAGTGGACACGAGGGGTTTAGAATCTATGTAATTGGGACATAGAGAAAATTACCTAAAATGGAAATATAAGTCCGAATGGAAATCATGCCAAAACAAATTAAAAAACACTAGATAACATTTAGGTAGGCCCAATGTAATGTTGCCTCGAGTTTAGGTTATGCGTGAGATGATACCATCAACGATCGTTAAAAACACGAACATTCCCATTTAAAAGACTGAAGTAATTGTCACAAGATTTGAATAATTCATGAAATGTCTTTTCTGGTTTCCGAGCATCATGCTCCGGTCAACCTAGACTTGCACCACCGGTGTGTAAGCTGACGTCAATCAAATATAATGTGACGGACTACTGAGAGATTGTCTACTGGGGATATTCCAAATTGTTTCACCAGAATCAAGTTATAAATAGTGCCTTTTGGAAAAGCTGCCCTACTTCAAAACTTGGATGATGCAGCCTTCTAACTGTGGAATAACTTTCTCGAAAGGTGGAATCTACTTGAATATTCCTCAGACGCAATAATATATATTGCTATAGCATTTGATGAAGCAAACACACAAATCCTACAAGATTCCTTGAAATTCAGAAAGTTATTCCTGTAAAATGTTGCAACATAAAAGATATTTCATCAGACCATTTCTGAAAAGTACATCATTACGAAAAACTCTAAACAATTAACAAGCATGTGACTTTAAACTTAGTAAAAAATAATGTAGGAACTTTTCCATCTTTTTTCCCTAAATTTACTCAAAAAGATGAAAGACGAACATTTAACATGGACAATTGCAATTCAATTTCGATGTGCATCATTTGTGATTGTGTAACGCATTGATTGATCTATAACAAGGCTCATAACAACGATCATCATATCATTTCTATTGCTCGATGAATATTGAAGTGCTTTGATGTTCGAACTTTGATACCCACTCTTTTCATGGATTGAATACTGATGCAGACTCCGGTTCAGTTGCATTAACAGCAAACAATTGGGCTTGATTTCCGATCGGCGGATATTAACGCTGATATTTCTCTTTCGCCAAATTAGTTTTTAGCAGTACTAACAATACCCTTAGAGATCTTTATATCTGGCGATAAAATATACTTGGGAAAGCATTTCGAGCAATTGTTAATTCCTAAGAAAGGAATATCACAATATAACTTATAAACTATACATTTTGATTGATCCGTTCAATCAGAATCAATTTTTACAAGGATGCGCATGTTTACTAACTAGCAGATACTAATTTGTTTTGTTATCCGAAACTCCCCGTACACGATTAAACCCCTATTTAAATACAAAAGAGAATAGTGTGAAGATCTAAGTCGTCATAAATGTCAAGATAGATTTATTTTTCCCTAAACACTCCATTGTCCTAAATCCATTTATTCATTCGAATCATTAAACTTTTCCTTAGGTCAACTAAGGATATCATCAGAATTAGCAAACGATTGGCTTTTATAGGATAATAAACCATTCTTGACATTTATACAAGTATTATTACAGATTCGTCCTGTTTTTGGGGTATATTTGAAATATTAAACTATTGTTCTGTATTGCAATCGTCTGAGGCTCGTTACTCAATCATAAATATACATGATGAATTGACTACTATTGGAAACATGAATTATCAATGATGAATAAAATTTTAATATGGTGCAAAGTGTTAATGAGTATTGACTCTTACTTATAATGTAGTATCTTTATCTCGGTTAGAAGGTCTTGAGATTTTCTTCAGGAATATAATTGTTTTATCGCCATAAAATGAAAAGCATTTTCATTTTTTCTATTTTCAAATGCTTGTGTGATATATATAGAGGTCAGGACGACAGAGATACACAGAAATGCCTATGTTCACAATGTTCAAAATGATTTAAAATTAATTTAAAGGTCTTTTAGAATTGATATATTGTTTTTCGTAGTCAACACCATCCAGTGAATACTCTCATGCAAAAGTCACTCATTTCATTAACCCTGTAATTTCACAAAAATTAAAACGGTGTATTTGTTAATTCCTCTCGAGATTCCCGGGTACTGTGGTGTTATGCTACTATAACAACCATAATTTTGACAGAGCTCCATTAAATGATATCAAACTTTACATTTCCATGTGAAAAACAAAGCAGGATCCGCAAAATATTTAAGCCGTGTTACCTTTGGGACATATGTACATGATATGCGACATTTCAAATTCATGAGTAATGAACATGAACATAAAATGACTAAACGTGTTCGGGATAACTTTGTGTATTATAAATCCAGACTATTTATCATATATCACACTAACAGCTACATGTACCAGATAATACAAACATACCATAATATATATTATATATACACAAATTATATTATTCCATACTGTACTATCGAACACTACTTGGTTGCGACTGACAGAAGAATACTTGGAACCCATTTTGTTCGATTTACACAATAAACGGTGACGCACTTTATGATGTCATTCACACCCTTTCCACTAAAAAGTTCACCACTAAAATTGCTCTCTCTAAAACATTTTAATTATTCATCAGGGGTAATATGGATATCCATAGGATGATTTCTGGTCCATTTGTGTCAAATCATGGATCTTGTTTTCAAATTTTGAAATTCTGAATGAAAACGAAAACGATGTTTGGACCGCCCGTTCAAATCACAACTTCGTACAGGGCATGGGTGATTCGCCGATTATTTACAATCATTCACCATAAGGTAAAGTATTATTTGCTCTAGTTTGCTTTTCGATAGTTTCATTACACAGTTGTACTTCCATTTCTTCGGTTTAAAGCAGTAATCTCAGCTGGTGTACAATTTCCTTCGCGGATACTCTGTTTCCGCTTCCGTTTTAGACACAAATGGACAATATCTGCAATGAGTTCGAAGACCTCAGTTAATGTTATAATAGATATTCCCAACCAGAGGCCAAGTTGTCCACCCACGTCTGATATTAGTTGAATACCAGTATAGTCTTTTGTTTCCGTGATTTTCACCACATTTGTGTCATATAAGTATACGTTAAGTCTTGCAAATCTGTCAACTGTTTTTTCTTGTTCAGTAACATTCAGAGCTTGAGCGTTTTCAGCACCAAAATAATACGTTCTCTGACCTTCTTGGAAGCGCCTTTCGAATCTTCTAGAAATGAATAAGTCCCTGTAAACATCCTGTTTGTGTTGTTGGCCTGGCCACAACGAATTACTATAAAAGAATTCGTAGGAAAGGTCCTTGCAAGGCGGATGGCAGTTGCAGTTTTCAGTGATTGCAATATGCTCGTGAGAGCCACTAGTCTCGATATCACGCATGCATATCATGCGCTTCAACCATCTGGCCTTCAACTCCTTGCACGATTCATTTCGGCGGGCAAAAGGCCCAAAAATGCATTTTCGTGGGATGTCATCAAATTTTGCGCAAAAATCAACACCATTGACCTCGGGAAAAGTCGGAAGCACAACGTCCAAGCAACCACAACCGTCCTTCACTTCTCGCGAGAGTAGGTTCTGTAAACATTTTTTTCTGCACGATGTCATTGTGTATCTATAACTAGCCTTATCGCTAAAAACTCCCTTGGTTGTTTCTGTGCAGTTGCCATAGGGACGACCAAGTCGGGTGTTTTCAGTGGTCTTTACGCCAATGGATACGGAGTATCCAGGCATTATATCGAACCCTTCAGTTGCGGGATGGGGTTGCGTGTCTGGCGGGTGAATAACTACTCTCACACCTCCACTTCCGGCTAGTGGGTCCCGGATGTCATGTTCAACGATACCTGGTAGTTTTACCTTTGTGCCAATTTTGATTTCGTTGTGCAGTTTTGGTATGTACATGACAATGGACAATGCGTTTTCAATCCCCTCTGCTAAAGTCTTCAGACTTCCGGCTATGACTGACGCATTAAATGTGAAGCAGTTAAAGTAATACGGATCAAATACTGTCTTAAAATGTTCAAAGGAGCATTCCTGCCTTGCATATCTACAAAACGCAATCAGCTCTGCTGGTTCTACCCCTGGGAATGTGATACTTTTATTCAAATTAGCAGCCAATGTTAATCTCGAGGACAGCGATGGGAAAAACTCAGTTTTGAGATCATGTCTATCTATCAGTCCTTCTAAGTAGCTCGGTTCCAGTACATAAGACATAGACTTTTTTAAGAACGTGTCAAAGTACCATTTTTCAAAATCAGAAACATTTTTTGATATAACCCAAGGTTTACGTCGCATACGATGTTCCATCTGTTCCTGTCGAAGTTTGTAAATTTTATGAATCACAAAAGGGTCCATGGCATGGACGGAACAAACCGTCACAGAGGGAAACGCAACTGGTTCCTGCACGACCTTCACATCAACGCTTTTCGGATATCCAAAGAATTTTTGTAGGAGAAGCGCTAATTCAAAAATGAACACCCCTAGAGCAGCTAGGCATATCAAAGACCAGAAAATCTTACCCGGAATGGTTTGCGCTCGTATAAGTTTTGGCACTCCATGTATTGTAGTTCCTGAAGCAAAGCGCTGAACGACGTCGTGAATTCTCTTGGCCATATTTAGTTTTATAATACTAGAACTGCAATAAACCATAATCTTTCATAACAATATCCTAGTCGCTTTTAAATCACAAACACTATTTTGGAGGCCTAATGTTTTGCATGTATAGCATACATTCTATTCCAGTCAATTAAATTATTTAAATCCAAACTGGATACCACCATTTTTGTATCTATGACGCACAAAAATAACATCGTTCCTAAGTTAACGTTCAGTAATTAGTTTTTTCATTTCCACACATGCATAAATCCAATAGGGTGAATAGATTAACGTCTCTTTTGTTGAATTTCACCAAACGACTATACCGCCTTTTACATCTAATTTCTTTATTATGTGGCACTCGCTGTACATAAAGTTGTGCTCAGCATCCCGCGATGCATTAATCGACTAATATTCTCGCCGCTGGTTTTAGACGAATAACTCGTCGTTCTTGCATTTACTGTATGTTCAATCTAGATATTTATGACTTATTTTCTTATAATCAAATAAGTTGATCAATAATTAGGTTCCAGAGTCACGGAATTATCAAAAAGACATCCAATTAGACCTTTGGATCACATACTGCATAAATATGTCAGATTCAGGCGATAATTGTTGAAAAGCAATCACTTTAAATATTTTTACGTAAGCAGATATTGATGTTAACATTTAATTTTTGATAGTAGCTAAACCTTAAAGGAACATTCCTGACGAGGTTGGATTTTCAGAAATATAGCGGTCAATAATAATTTGGGAACGATGAAAAAATGTTTATTTAGGGAAAATTAGGTTAGTTCGATCACGATTTTAACGCTCAGCCTCTAAACAATTCTAGACTAAGGAACTCTTTTTGTAAGATAGATATCAAAAATAAGATGAAATATGAGAAAATATTATATTCCGAGGCTCGACCATGACTTATAGGGAGAAAAAACATATGACCTCATTTTCTCAGTTTCCATTTCGGTAATTGATTAATATTTTTGGTAATTTTTTGCCGTTGCCGCAACTGCCTTTTTTCTAGCCACGCCAATGCTCTTGAAAAAACAGAATAAATATGATTAAATAGGATACCTATACTTTAGAGACATCTTTATAAACAGATCGACCTCATTTCGTTATTGGATAACATGAACAGACTATTAAAGTACTTGAACAACGCTTCTGTCTTGTTACCGTTTCCGATGCAGGGTTTAGGTTTTACTTCTTTCACAATTTTTCCTAAGATGACAAAATGTTTGTTTGCATGCTTTCTTTCGATTGGTGAAGTGTAGATATGTTAAATCAGAGGTTCATTTCTATGAACACATGTATACAGTAACAGTCACGCAAATTGTGTTGTACCAGTGCCTTTAATTTTTCATAATGCACTGACTGAGCAGTGCATTACTCTTTCAAATGAGGGGTGACTGCATATCATCCATTTGTTAATTTCAGTCAATGTTATGATTTTCCAAATAAGTTCTCATACTTTTTCTCCAAAATTCTGCATCAAAATACTTCTTCTTCCCAATAATATAATGATTTTGATAAATAAATCCTTGAAACATAAAATCTTAAAAATACTTATTTAACTAGTTGTAAGACTTATTCATTTTTCCGGGAAAGAAATACTTATATAAGTTTTATGAAATACTGTGTTTGGATTGATTGGAATCGGACACACCTTGCCTAGCTATGTGTGAATGTAACATACACTACAAAAAACATCGGAAAAAATCTACCTTGATCCACGGGAATTTGTTTTTTGGAATGCCTGGTCGAGGATAAAAGTTGTGAACATTGAAATTTAAAAGCCTTCGTGCATGTACTTTCAATTCTGAAAATGCACCCAGGCTTCGCCTTCGTGCAATATATGAATCGGTTATTACATACACTCATTTTTTTTTATTATTATTTATTTATTTCATTGATATAGTTTAAAATACAATTACAATAGCATCCCTAAATCGCCAGAGGGCATTATATAGGAATGGTGATAGGCTGGGGGTGGCAGGCAGACAGGGTCCCGGACCGGAGCAGGTGTGACAGGACAACAGGATATCAGAAAGAGAGACATGAGGGAGGGAATACATACACTCATGCTTTAAAAGTCCCAATTAGAATAATACAGGATTCTCTCTTCCTTAAATATACTTTTCAATTATTGATGAATGGATTAAAGCAACTTCGATGTTTAGTATCCCTCTGTTCGACTCATAATAGGTATTTTATCAGTTTACTATGCTAATGTTCAATAGTTTTAATGCCTAAAAACTAGTTAATAAACCCGAGAGAATTATTTGAAAATAAAACGAGATGCAAATGAAACAACAAATGTGTTTTGCTATATCACGGTGATCCAGTGGTGTCATGCTATGTCAACATGAACAGCTCGGAGGTTTTTTCGAAGGTTCACGGTTGATAAGTTGATAACGTTGAGATCAGAGTGCATTCGTTTTCTCATTTTGTCTTCTATTTATAGATGCTGTTCATATACTTCTTTGAGAGTAAGGACTGGGTACTGTATTGCAAACCGTTTTTTGGTCAGCTTTATCTAATATAAATTTCATTTTTAGTTCATTTTTACATTTAAATATATTTAAATTAAAGTTTAAAGAGAGAGAGAAGTTTCTCTACTTAATTTAGAAAACTAAACATTGTTTAATAGGACCATAAAAAGGTCATTTCATGATTGATTTTCAACATGAATTTTATTCCATCGGTAATTATATAATATGACATTGACCTCGGGAAATATGATATTGACCCTGTAACCAGCTTTCATACGATTTAAGTGTTATTATATTCTGAATACACTGAAAATCACATCGGAAGCATCATCGGCAGACTAAAGGATTGATTCTTATGCAAGGAGAATGAATTCAATGTTGAGTTTGCATAAACCACTGTATATTTAATAAAAATGTGCCAATGGGGCAGTATTAGATTAGTCGGCCATTAGACGAATGTTAATTTGAATAAAACGTATCTAACTTACGCTTGAGGGAATTTGTAGTCGAATAAATGGCACTGCAGTATACGGTAATTGAATTGGAAGTGATTGTGTCAAGTCAGAAATGTCTAACAGACGTTGACTGATCTCAAAGTCACGATAGGAGCAGAAATGACACGAAACAGAAGATTATTTGTGATATAAATGCCAATATGTGAGGATAACGCGAGTCATGACTTATTGCAGGAATAGATAAATAGTGAGACGAGTGAACATTAAGAGAGATCAAATTGTTTGCAGAAAATTCTAAGTTTGGCCGTTCGACTCTTCCATTAGAAACAGGATGATAAGCATCTGCGATGCTGCATTATATATTATTAATTCAAAGGGCGAGTATTGCGTCAAAAATAATCAAATACAACTATAAGATTATGCAGATGTTTATTGAATTTTGAGTCCCATGTCGTACGTTTACGATGTACTATACAGCGTGAATGAAATATTGGCTAAAGTAGAAGAAGTTGAAATATAGAGATAATACAATATATATTTATAGGAACACATAATGGTACGTATGTTTGATGAAGTTGTTCAACATTTTGCTTCTGGTACGACAATACACGGTGTTCCAAAGCTATTGAAAGCACAGACTATACAAGGAAAGATATTTTGGTCAGTGATCTGCCTCTCAGCTTTAGGGGTATTTATATTTGAACTTGTACTGCTACTGAGCAAATACTTTGAACATCCAAAGAGTGTCGACATAAAGATCGTACAGGAGCCTGTCGCTTTTCCATCTGTCTCAGTGTGTTCTGTGTATGCAATAGACCCCTTCGTGATACATGAAATATACAAACTCAAAACTGGAACTCAAAAGGATAGCGCTATGGCAACGGATGACGTGGGCTATAGATTTACGCGGGATATGTCAGGTGAATTGGATGACACACAGTTTGGTGTTGAGAATGCGTTCATTAAATGGTATCTCGATGATTTTATAGAAAAGTCCAGTGATTTTATGGGAAAACAAGAGAATAGATTAGCTATTAAACGTATGCTGGGAAGTGAAGCTGAAGAGAAATATCGGACGAAATTCTTGCCTTCATTAGCGTCGAGACTTACTCTAACAGCCAATATGTTACACGAGCACATTGCCTTTCCTGGTATTAAGCCTAAAGAATTCATAGCCCTTTGTCGTTACGCTAGGAAAGAGTGTTCATACAAACATTTCACAACTGTGTTTGACCCGTACTATTATGATTGTTTCACATTTAACGCATCCATCATAGCAGGTGCGCGTAAAACATTGGCTGAAGGAATTGAAAATGCATTGTCTCTCGTGATGTACCTTCCCGAGCTACACAGAGATTTGAAATTCAACAAGATGAAAACCCACCTCCCTGGTATTTTAGGCCATGACCTCCGCGACCCACTGTCCGGAAGTGGAGGAGTTCGCGTAGTGATACACGCTCCTGGTACACATCCGTATCCGGCCACTGACGGATTTGACGTAATGCCAGGAAGTTCTGTCTCAATAGGAGTAAAAACAACAGAAAACATACGCCTCGGGTGGCCCTACGGTAATTGTCAGAAAGAGGAAGATGATACAATCCAAATCCAACAAAAGACGAACACGTACAAATACACAATGACATCGTGTCGGGAAAAATGTATACAAAGTAATCTTTTGATGAATAAGCCCAAAGGTTGCGAATGTCTCGATGTAAATCTGCCTACGTTTACTGAAGTAGAACACGGTGAATATTGCGCTCGGTTTGATGATGTACCCAAACATTGTCAAAACAAAACTGAATGTGCGGAACTGAAGGCAAGATGGTTAAAACGTATGAACTGTATGCACGATAAAGAAGCTAATAATAACTCTTTAGTCGGAGAATGTAACTGCCATCCTCCATGTGAGGATGTGGACTACGATTTTTTCTACAGTAGTACACCGTGGCCGGATGCCAATTACGTCAATGGCGTCTACCGAGATCTCTTCATCTCGCACAAGTTCCAGGATAATTTTGACAATGCACAGAAAAGGACTGCTTACTTTGGTGATAAGATAGAATCAGATCTAGACAACGAGGGGAGAATTAAGAAAACGGTTGGTAGACTTGCCCGACTAAATGTATATCTATATGATACGAATGTCGTTAAGATAACGGAGAACGAAGACTACACGGGGATACAGTTGATTTCAGATGTTGGTGGACAACTCGGACTCTGGCTAGGGGTCTCTATTATCACCCTCACTGAAGTCTTTGAGCTTATCGCACACATAATACATATAGTGTGCAAAAGAGACGACAAAAGAGACGTGGATGTTCAACATGAAGAGCTGGATTATCAAAGACTTCCAATTCCTGAAATACCGCACAATAATGAATAATTTGCACTTAAACCGTTGTTAATGATTATGTATTATTGGTCAAATGACTGTTGATTCATCAGATTCTACTAGCTCAGAAATTCTAGTGAATGGAACTTTTTCAAATATTTTTCACAGAACCGCCAGGCAAAGTAACCTCAAACATATTGCAAGTAATGTATTTCATTTTCAAAAATCAATTAACCATAATTCTTAGAATTCGAACCTCATGTAAAGCAACATATTTTTCAAAGTAAGCAAAGTCTTCTACAATAAATTGTGTCACCCTGTATGCTACAAAAGTGATTTAAGCCAACTTATGTTTAATTATTGAACGCTTTTAGAAATTGAATAAATCATCAATTATAGTAAGATAGCATCCGATTTTAGAATTTTTAATCTATATGAAGAATTTAATAAAGGGAATGTGTACCTTATGCAGAGGGGTATATTGACGCCATGATTCAGGTTCCATTTTTGCCCATTTGAAAATACTACTTGGAGGCCATGTGGACAGTTTACAAACACAAATTAGCAAAAATTGTAATGCATATGTCCGACAAATAGAAAAGACGAATATCTGAACCAACAAGGGGGGGGGGGCAAACTTCTGGTCTGATAAAAAAGTTATGGGCCCCCAAAACCAAAAAGTGGGCCCAAATTTTGAAATTTTGAGGCCAATTTTCTTCAAAATTTGCCCTTTTTGGCTCAAAATGTTTTGGGCCCTGCCCCCCCCCCCCCCCCAGATCCGCCAGTGCCTGCAATTGTTAATCTTTTGTCTGTGTTCGGACAGGCAAAAGTATTTTAAAAATCAAATGTTGACCCACCAAATATGTTTTCCACTCATTAAAGCAATGAAAGATGGCGCTTGGAACAAAAAACGTCCGTTATCAATGCTCAGTATCAGAATGAGTATAACCGCAAACTTTTAAGGCGAAAAGAAAAGAAAAATCAAAACCTTCCATGTATCATTGTGTTTATTATAGAAATATACAGTTGTTGTTATATATCCAATCCGTTGTATTGTTTCTATAAATACGGATTATAATATAAGATTTCAGTAAAAAATCATGACACATTCTTTCAAAAATGGAGATTGTGATTCACAGAAAATTCGGAAAGTGATACTAAATGATACTATAAGAATATGCTCAAGCGAATTTATTTGACTTTGTATATAAAGTAAATATCACACCACTAAAATATCATACCATTTAAATTCCCTATCGTAAAGGGTAATTTTTTATGACACGTGTGCAGTAAAATCATTAACGACCATACCTCTGTCATGTGAACATTCGGTAAAAAGTAAATAATATTGGAAAAGTTCTCCTAACGATTTTAACCTCGAAATATTGAAATCGATTTCACATTTTGGCGATATACATAAGGTGATTGACTCCAATACGAATTGGGCCATCCCTACCGTAATATATTTTTTCAGATGAATATTTGAATCGATTACATAAAATAAGATTTACGTAAATATAGCATGAAGTTCGCTCTTTTACCGAAATACTCTATTTTAATCCGTATTTTATGTAAGCAAACAATAAACTATAGTTATAGAAATAACCAATTCTTATACTAATACAGCTGTGATACATTTGCTACTTATATAGATTACCACTTTCAAAACAGTTGCTGAATTGGACGAACTGGGTTTAAAATGTCATGCTTTCAGATTATCGGTTGTAAAACGAGAGATAATATCCCCATTTTTCAAAACGAATTTATCCATCACCACAAATTGATTCTATTATCTTATGTATTTAGAAAAAACACGGTTCGAAATAACCAAAATTTAAAAATTGTGATATTGAAATTAGAGTAATATTTTTGGAGTAAAATCATTATCAAGAATTTATATAAATTATGGCGGCTTTTTAAACTTGCTGGGGATATATCGACCATATGACAATCGGTTATGTTCTCTCTGCTGCATAACTTCGAAATTCGAAACGGCGTCTCTGGTATTGTTAATATTGACATTGGACATATGAAATGGTTATATATCTGATTGTTTTTTGTTTAAATTCAATTGAATAAACGTATACCATACACGTAATCTTGCTTCAAAACAGTGGTCCTCCCCCTACTTCAATTCTCCAACAGATAAGGATTAGTCCAGAGTATTGAAGCAAAATTAGGTATAACAGTCAAGTGTGTTTATATACACTATAAATGTCGCAGCTCCAATATGTCTCTGGTTCACTTGAGCAAATCTATGTATGCTTTCTTCTGAATAATTCGATGAAGATATCCCTGCAAGTTTTCCAGTGTTGCGGGATCCTTTTCGGCAAAATGGTTGATGTTAGGGTTGAAATAATTCAAAAGCTTTTTTTCCCTAAGGCTCCTCTCAAGAAGTTGGATCATCTCTATAAAGCGCTCTGCAATCGCATCGTGACCCCAGCGCGCTCCCCTCGTCGGCATGTGAAGAAGGATTGCCTTGAAGAAATATGAGCTGAGACAACGTAGCTGGGTATTGTTCAGCTTGATGACTTTTAAGATCTTTACGACCTTTTTACGGCATCCGTTGTCATCATCATCGATTTGACGCATGATTTCTCGCTCTTCTCTACAGTTAGACTGCATCCAAAACTTTTCACGTTGTAATGCTGCTGCTGTGCCTAACTCCCCCTGGTTCTTTAGGTCAGGATGTGGCTTTGCGATAACCAAATCCTCCCCAATATCATAAGCAGGCGTAAAGTCGATGCCCATCAGTTTCTTGTTTCCTTCAAAGACGTTCACAGTCGTCGCCGGACCTCCAGTTTCCATTTGATAACGCAGAGAACCACCGCCGGGAAGGCTGTCGATCCATTGTTGAAAATAGCTTTGAAACACGCTACGTACCTTCTGAGGGGATAGATCCTCGTTACCTCTGGCATCAGATACCATACATTTCTGATATGGCTTTGGTTGTTCTAAAGCTCTCATTCCCGCCTGCGCTTCATTTACCGTTGCCGGTTCTGGCTTTGACAGGTTCCATTGGGGAGGAGGCGCACCCATAGGTCTAGTTGACACAACATATTCTGTATGGACGAAGACAGGTCCAAACTGAGGCGGTTGCTGTATTTGCCGCGGAGCTTGTGGTCTTGGTAAGACAATAGCGTTATCTAATGGTCGACAGGTCCTTATGGTACAAAATCCACGATCATCCTTGTCGATAACTTCCCAATCAACATGGCCTTTAAGAAGCATCAAAAGGTCAAATTCGTCGGCAGATCCAACCTTCAGGCCTTCATAGACGCTACCGATGTTTTCTAGTTGCAGGATCTCGACGTTCTTTTTCTTGGACAAATATTCTTTGATATTCTTTTTCACGTTTTCTACGATTTCCTTGTTTCTTTTCATCTCATCTCGTGGTATAATGACCCTTTGGTCGTAGAATAGGTTTAATTTGTCTTTCAGTAGTCGCAACTCCTGCTGCGTAGGTAAACTGGACGCCATGTTTATATCTGGAATGAAAACATTAGAAATGATGTAGCATCTCTGCCCAAACCGGACGATTTTGTCAGCGCATGTGAAGAATGTGACAAATCAAAAAAACATTTCAGAACGCCGGACATGCCAACACATTTAATCAAATGGGCTAGAGCTAAAAACGCAATGAATACCTATGGAACATAACTTTGATATTTTTAGCTGAAAACATCTGCAAATGTTTTTTGTAAAATTTTGGCAAGGCTGTCATAAATTAACTCATTTAAGATATTCATTTCATGGCTGACTACAACATTCATCAATGTAACATTTAACCCCCTTTATAATATCAAAATGTGCAAGTATATGTTTGGAATTCGAACAAGCCCGTCCGAAGGGGAGGGGGGTTGCGTCCTTTGCAGACTCTTAGAGATCTATGGCTCTCAGATATTCTCAGAGATTTTTCTGAGACGTCGGCCTATCTTGCGGCGCTCCGCATCGTCGACGATTTGCGTGGGCGTGTTGGCGGCAAGACTCACCCGAAGGCTACGCAAAAATCAAGTCCCCCTCCCACTTTAGAAATCCTTCGGGCGGGCCTGTGTAATGAAAATCTGTTAAATACCATAAGAATTTTAATGCGGCTATATCATACGTGTATCTATACCAGCCCTGTATACGTATTCATCATTCGAGAACCTGGAGAAATCATTCATCGTCCTTACCTGAATGACAACCCTTTTAATAAAGATAGATCCTCAAAGATAGGATTTGCAACATAGTTTTAGAAAAACGACGTAATTAACAATGATTTGACAAAACGATAACGATTCTCAGAAGTTTATCAAAATTAAAAGATAATGAGTTCTCAGAAGTAAGATACGTATTAATGAAGTTTTGCAATTCAGTGTCAGTTCGACTTTCAATCTGGAATCAATAAACGAGTTTCGATTAATAATTCTTAAAATCGCGGATTCGGTAGTATTGAATCTCTAATAAAGATGGCGCGAAAGTTTTTCCTTATAAGGTCAAAATATTTCCCATGATGCAGTTCGCGGGGGAACAAAATTTTTCTACCTTGTTTTTCCCCGTTGGTTTAACATGGGGATTTTCATACCCATTTTTCAAGCGATATTTTCGATCGAATCTCCATGCGATCGGAGAAAACAAACTATCAGAAACAATTAGTCTTTTAATAATCTTTATATAACATATATTTTTTTTCATTTTATTGGCTCCTAACGGGGTGAAAACAATGATTGAAAATGGGAGTATATTCCGGAAGAGAAGAAGTCACGTGACTAGTCGCCATATTGGAAAAAGCAATTCCATTCGACTTTCAACACGTTCATGCCAATATTACCGCACTACAAACTGTAACATCGATGCAACAACTGAATAAAAGTACTCATCTTCATATTACATTATAGAGTTACGTTGAAAACCCACAAACAACTGAGCATTTGACCAAAGAAGACACGTCGCTATTATCTAGGTCAAGTTTAGTGGTTCGAAAGCAAATCTTACATACTCGTTTCCGAATTTTGTTGTTAATTGTATAATCTTTTATTGATTAAATCTGGTATACTGACTATTAATTCAATGACAAAGAAGAAGAATTCCGATGGTGTCATTTTTTTATTTAGCTTGCGGGTGTAAAAACAAAATTGCGTAATTAATTTGATTTAGAACTTTCGGGTCTCACAAATAGCTACACGAAATGCATCGTTGAAAAATATTGACCAATCAAATTTTGTCCTTTTTGAGTACATATATGCACCATATATGCGAACGTTCTGATTCAAAGAGCGAACAGCGAAATGGAGAATTTATTTAATTCGTCAGTGAGTTACTAGAATAGTATATTGATATCTGCCTTTCAGTGTTACCTGCCGACCGTGGTGCTTGAAGACTTCATCGTGGTTTAATGGTTGCAGGTTGCTGCTGCTCAATCATTCTTGAAGGTCTTTTAACTACCAAGTAAATCTGCCATGGCAATGCCGTCCAGCAGTTCATTTTGTTTGGAATAATTAAGGTCTATTCACACAATCATGATCAGCAAAATTGTGGTGAAATGTGAAAGAACATTTTCTGCCTTCTTGCTTTGCAGTGTCTTCTACATTTTTTAAGTTGAGAAATAATTTGTGCTGGATACTATATATTTACTTAAACCACCGGAACACCCTGACAACGGTAAAGTCAGATACCGTTGTCACAACTGGCGGACGTAACCTTCGCTTCAACTCCTTAATCACTTGGTTCTCATTTCATGGGACCTTATCGTCGCTGATTCTCGCTGATTCTGTTTATAATAAGCTCTTGTGATGGTGTTTTTATGAAATCTATTTCGATCGAATGTGGTCGTGAGTCGCCACAATATACCGTCTTCCATATAGTCAATGACAACGGAATCTGAATTTCAAACCATTCACAGAGAAAGGATAGATCCTAAATACAGTATCCGTTGTCCTGTGTCATATTTTGATAGGTAAAATTAAAGTCAATATTTCGATGATAGAACATATTTAACTATACAATCAGTATTAAGACACTTTGATTGATCGTTCTACCAAACCAAACGAATTTAATCTAGGTGCTCTATTAAACATGCAGTTTATGAAAATCGAATCGAAACGAACCCGTGGCCGCCATTTGTGACAACGGTATCTAACTTTACCGTTGTCAGGGTATTCCGGTGTGTAAATGAAATATATTATTATACCATGATCACTATGATGTTAGCTTTTTTGCTATTAACACCGTATACATCCCGCATACTCCCCGCAGACAGATCGCCTAAAATTACATTCGTATGATGCGAGACTCGACATTCACCAGGAAAGTAGAAACATTTTGTCACCCATGATGGAAATTAATTCTTTACTGCTCAATAAATGATGAATGACAGTCATATTAGTATGAGAATAGCATGCCGTCTTGATATTTCAAGGTAACTCATTTTATCTATTTTATCTACGTTGTAGTTTTTTTTATAAAATATGATACGCCGTGACGCCATCTAGGTACCATTTCCATTCACACTAAAGCTTCGCTGTTTTTAAAGGATTAAGCCCAGGACTCGTTAGAGTGTAGACTGATTCAATGTATGCATTGTTTCCAGACCTTTGCATGAGTGCAAAGCACGAATGCAAAGTCTAAGAAACAATGCATGAGTGGATTAAATCATCAACAATTCATTGGGTCATGCGCTTAAATTCTTTTGACACATTGCAAAATATAGTATACAGTATCACTTAAAAGAATGCATTTTTATTAAATAAAGTAACGTTTATTTGTACTACTGTATCCAATTGAGAAGAATAAACGATGTGTTTTACAATGCATGGTGTTGCATTTGAGGATCTAAAAACTATTTTTTATTTTTAAATATTTCTTGACATTCAAACATTATTTTATAAATCAAGGACCATTGGTTTTATCAATTCTTGAGGAGTAATAAATGAATGGTTAAATATTTACTTTTTACAGCAAGACTTTTCATGTTTTAGGGATGTAGCATTGTAATATTAATTTCAACTATCCTAAACTGAAAAAAGTATCGAGCAACTTTAATTTATTTGCAGAAATTAGTCCCTGATCAAGAGGAATCTAAATATTCCTATACCAACTTATGTTCATTAGCAGCTACTACAGGTAAAAATAATAAAACAACACAAAATATCAACAAAACTACAAGATACACAAATAACAAAAATCTATCTAGGATTTGTGCAACCGTTTGCCATTCCTTTTTCCACTTTGCATTGTCACTGTCGAATGCACTTTTATCGATGATTTCCTCAGATATTGGAATCTGATTATTTGCTCCGTGTGTATAGGATCCGCCATAATTTTTTCTTCCGTCCATTTTACTTCCCCTTTTGACTGGAGACACATTATTGGAAGAGTGTTTTGAAACTCTTATATATCCCTCCAATGAAAATGATTTGTAATGTCGCAAACACACTACTCTAGCGATCATTTCGAATGCGAAATACCTTAGCCATCTCGGCACAGGGTAAATCGCATCGTGGTGATGCATTTGAAGAATGATCACTGTTAGAATTATGGAGCTGGCACTCAACGTCATCACTGCCGCCAAATAAAGTGCTGGAACGGATGAATAAAATATAGAAAACATTGGTCAAAACCTGGATGGTCATGCCCATATACCAGGGGGGAGCTGGGGAGCGGGACCCCCTGGCCAGAAATTCTTTTAAAATCAATCAGTTTTCACCATTCTTAGCACTTTTCGCATGCTTTTTAGCCAAAACTGTCAAAAAGCTCCCCTGGAAAATACCCCGTTGGTAAAAGCTGGCAACGGGCAAGACCTAGTAATTATCTGAGATTTACTATTAAAGACTCTCTTCGTGGATAGTCAGTCGAGCTTCACAATCGTAAAATCAAAGATCAGAGGTAAGGACCAAATGTATATTTTACGGTCAAAGTATAGGTCTATGCTCAGTCTACGTTTTTTACCAATCAAAAGCAATGGAGTCTGAAATTAATCACTGTTAAAGATCAACAGTTTATGTTATGCATTGATAGATGGGAGTAGTGATTGCCTATGCAAATTAATAGACCACTACTGCACCATCTTTCTGTTGACCTGTAACTAAACATTATGTCATATCAGGTTCGAGAGTACAGAAACACAGGCTGATATCGAAAAATTTGTCCGCTGTGACGGAGCGTGCTATTTTGCATAGAAGCACTAATAAGAAACCCACGCAATTTATTTTTTACTCATATGTTTCGCTATACCATAGAAAATAAATTTTTCGATACCAGCCTGTGAGTAAGAGGCAATTGGCAGGGGTACTAACCTAAAAGTGGCGTGCTATCCGATGTCTTTGGAATCTGTTCGGCAACCATAAGGAGGAAAACAGAGAATGATAAAAGAACCGTGATCCCCATGGACACTTTCTCACCAGCTTCCGGCGGAAGTAGAAAAACAAAAGTCACCAGGATTGTCAAGATGATACATGGTACGACAATGTGAACTATATGATATCGTGGCTTTCTTTTCAGAAAAAGAATGAAATCTGCAGTTGGATAGGGCTTCTTATTTTGAAAATAATCATTGAAGACGACAATATCAGTGCTCACGATATTCCATTCACCGTTTTCCGTATATTTTGCCAAGACAACACCTGGAAAGGAATCAAAAACATAATATATAGGAGCTATTTTCTGAGACACATCCAACAATTATCATCTTTAAAGTCTTTCAATTCTTACTAAATTATAGGTTGACCAATCTTGGGTTCTAAAAGAAATTAATTGACAACATTATTTTAATTACCCGTGTTTACAAGCCTCGACGTACATTTTTAAATTTTGGGAATCGATCAATGTGAAAAAGGTGACGTCGGGAACGTAGGCTGATTCAAATGAGCCCCATGCTGGCCAAATGATCTTCGGGGGAAAAATGCGAAAAACAGCTCTGTTCCTACCAGACTTAGATGACAGGTTTTGGTGAAAACCATGATACATCCAGTTGGCAAACCTCAATGTGCAGATTTGAGAGTCAAATGGGAAGAAAGTAACATCGAGGGCGCATGCTGAGTCAAACGAACCACCTGGTGACCACAATACTTCCCCTGTATGAGCTAGGTCCACTCTAAAGTCTTCGTAGAAAGACGAATCGATTAACTTGTTGGCGCTATGAAACGGATAATGTTTTAAATTATAACACAATAATTCATAAACAATACAAAAAATGCAACCAAGACGTTTCAAGTGTGATTTCGTCTTTTCAAATGCATGTACCTTTTCAGAATGTACCTTTTTGAGTACCTTTTGAGAAGGCCGATCGGCTTCATAGTCTTTATGTATAGCATAGATTGAAATAAGTGACTGTTCTATAATAGGAAACCATGTTTGGTGTTTGAGAATGAACTAGTTTTGGATGATCTAATAGTTCTGACGGGGACCTCAGTGTATAATAAAACCCTTGTTAGATAATAAACAAAAGCCTAAGTTCACCTGTTTCCTAAATTCACATCTGGGAGCCAAAGTTCCTGTGCAGGTAGTATCAGCTCAGTTATGTTAGAAAACTCCTCTGGTTTCCACTGGAGAAACTCATCTATCCATACCTGATTGCAATTCATGAGATTAGCATGTAGAAACATTTGCAAATGGAACATGATAACAAATAAATCACTCCTCTCGGTACAATTAACCTTTTTTCGATTTCATCTGGGGTTTGTATACACATGAGGATGGTATACATTCGTGTTATTTTCACTAAAACCGTATCAAGGACCCGGATCAAAGGTTACAATCAACTACTCGATTTGATCCATCGTCCGTTAATAGAAACGAATAAAATCAGTGATTCTGATTTATCGGGCACTCTAGGACTGAAATTCTCGGTTAATTAGAAATACCAATGGATTAACTTGATATGCAATTCAGATTTGCATACTTTCGATACAGCATTTTAACCCAAAAATGAGTTCTCATAAACCTTTTTTATCAAGTTAAACTGCAGTAAACTTACAAATCTCAGCCAGCCAAACGTTTTCAAGATCTGGTTTTTCTCATCCTGAAAATTAGATAAATTGTTACAAATGGAACATTATGATCAAAGATGCAAATGCCGAGTCCTCCAATAAACTCATACAAAAATAAAAATGCTTTTATTTTTTAATTTCAAACATTTTCTATGAAACTTTCACAAATAGAAAAATGATTTATGTAGTGAGATACAAAAATAATTGTGTTGCTATGATCGGTCCAGAGTTCTTGTTTCCATGGTAACTGGTGTTTTTGGTCGTTCGGGCCAATATTTCTTTGCTCCTGGCAATGTGTTCTGCTTGCAAATCAGGGATAAGCGAAAGATGAGAAAGATTGAACAATTTTTGAAAGTCACTATTGCTATATAATCTAGAAATTCCGATGTTGTGTGTTGACGAGTGGCCATGTGACACAAATTCTTTATCATAGAATGGTAACTCGTTTTGTCTTTAAAGCGGCTCTAAGGTCTGTGGAGAGAAAAATGGAGAAATTTTACCTTTTCTGAGCTATCGAGGTGAAGTTTGGTCCAACATCTTCTTCCTTATTTCTATTTTATAAAAATGTATGCATATGGCAATATTCATCAACCAGTAGAACTGGCAAATAGTTTAGAATCAGGCCCGTAAGACACTTTTCTCCAAGGGGGGTGCGGTTTTTTGCTTAAGAGAATATAAAATTGTCATTTTTTGCCGCGTAAATCAAATCGCGTAAGACAGAGGGGGGTTGGGTCAGTTACTCCCTGTATTGGTTTGGAATTAACAAATGCATGCAACTTCCAAATGTTCCAATTGTTTTATGGGGGGGGGGGTGTGAGGAGTTGTCCACTCACCCTAGACAATTTTATAGTTTTGAGATGCTATTTGGTGCTTTCTGGGCACTTTCAAAGTGTAAGTTTCTAAGTAGTACGCCACCACCACGGGAATAAGAGTTGAGTGAATAAAAAACTGAGCATTCAAGGGGGTCTGGGGGTTCTCCCCCCAGGAAAATTTTGAAATTTGGTTGTATTCGGAGCGAATTTGCAACCATCTGGTACGCCTGTGCGTTATGAGTCAATATGAGAAGTGTGAATTTTTTTCAAATTCTTTTGGGGGTGTCAAAGAGGATGAGAGGATGAAGTGGGGTGGGGTGCCAGTAGGGGAGCAAGGGGTTGTCCCCCAGAAACATTGACCATATCAAGGTGCTATTTGATGATGTCTGGGCACTTAAAAAATATCTGAGACAATACATGAAATTCAGAATATTTTCTTTTGTTTTGTGGGGGATGTGAGGGGTGGCTAACTCTCCTAGCAAATTTTACAATTTAAAGATGATATTTGGTGCTTCTGGGCACTTTTAAAGTGTATTAGTCAATAAAAACATTGAAAAACAATCACATTTTTTTCAAATTTTGGGGTTGTCAAAGGGGGGAGGGGTGCCAGAGGGGGAGGTGGGGCTGGGGTGCCAGAGGGGGAGCAAGTGTTTGTCCCCCATATCAAAATTTACAATATCAAGGTGCTATTCGATGAAGTTTGGGCACTTAAAAAGTGTCTGTGCCTAAAAGTGTCTATTTCCCAAGAAAATTTTACAATTTTAAGATGCTATTTGGTGCTTTCTGGGCACTTTCAAAGGGTATGAGTCAATAAAAAAATTTGAAAAATCTCAATTTTTTTTTTGGGGGGGGGGGTGTTAATGGAGGGGGCTGCCAGAGGGGGAGGTGGAGTGGGGATGCCAGAGGGCGAGTAAGTGTTAGTCTTCCAGAATCATTAACTTTATCAAGGAGCTATTTGAATATGTCTGGACAATTTAAAAGTGTCTGAGACAATACATAAAACAAATTCAGAACTTTTCCATTGTTTTGTTTGGGGTGTGAGGGTGAACCACTCCCCCTAGAAAATTTTACAATTTTACGACGCTATTTGGTGCTTTCTGGGCACTTTCAAAGTGTATGTGTCAATTAAAGAATTTGAGAAAATCACAATTTTTTTTTGGGGGGGGGGATCAAGGGGGGGGGGGGGCGCCAGAGGGGGGGGGGGGTTATGCAAGTGCAAGATGCAAGAGGGGGAGTAAGTCCCCCAGAAACACTAACTATATAAGGAGCCATTTGATGATATCTGGGCACTTTAAAAGTGTCTGAGACAAAACTCTAAAATAAATTTAGAACTTTTCCATTGTTTTATGGGGGGGGGGGTGAGGGGTGGCCAATACCCCTAGAAAATTTTACAATTTTAAGATGCTATTTGGTGCTTTCTGGGTACTTCCAAAGTGTATGAGTCCTGGAGTCAATGAAAAAAAAATTACAAAAAAAAATATTTTTCAAAAAAAAATTTTTTTCAATTTTTTTTTTCAAATTTATTTTGGGGGGTGACAAAGGGGGGTGCGGTCGCACCCATCGCATCCCCCCATCTGACGGCCATGAGAATCTACAATTCCATACAAGGAGTCCCACTCATAGATTTTTCAAATTCTTTCCAAGTCGGCGTCGAAACACCTAGCGGGTGAAATTGAAACTAATTTTTCTGGCTGCTCGAATCGATAAAATCTCCGATAGTGTGAGTCTTTATATGAAATCTTTCTGATAGAAAACACTTAATTAATATTAGAAAGCACTTAAATGTTGAATCCGAAGCGTAATCTGAAATAAAAGTGAAAAAACATTGCGCGGACGTCAGAGAACAGACTTCCGGTTTAATAAAAAATGGCGGACGTCGAAGGAGAAATTATGACGAAGAATTAGAGGATTTTCCTTTGCCATTATCGATCGTTATAAGGTATGTGCACAAATTCTAGTTGCATACATGGAAAATAGATACATTTTTAAAGGCAACAACATATTCAAAGCTTTCATTTTACGGTAGGCCCAGGATCATTGGATACGACTCGGCAATCGATATTCCCACTTTAATGCAAAGATGTTTTTTATAGTTTGACATTGAAACGAAAATTGATTAAACACAATCGAAAAATGCATCGCAATAAAACTTTATGAGCAAACACGTTCAAAATAGTCACACTCTGCGCATGATACCCAAGTATTTGATAATCTTACCAGTTCTTTAATTTGCCACAGCCACAGAGACACATCAACATCGACCGTGACTTGTGCATCAGATCTTGGACGAGTTAACTTATCATAATCCTTCATCAATTGTCTGCGTAATGTGGATTCATCGGTGTTATTGTAATTCTTCAAACGTGACGATATTGCATCGGAGCCTGTTGAGAAGATATGCGTTACTCACTACTTATTTCATTAATTTGATTGACTTTAATCCCTGGGTTATTTTTTCAACGCTTGGAAGACTACTGTCATGTCAGACAAGAGAAAACAGTATATATTACAGCAAGAAAGGCAATGAATAATTAATATTATAAACAATGCACCTAACACTACAACTTGTATGCGTTCCTACATTTTCTCTATTTGAGTTTCGGAGGATAGTCCATTCTAATACTCATACAATCTTTCTGTTTAACCTGACACAACTCAGGGCTGAGAAGAAATGAGATGTCATGGTTTATCATGATGAGGATAGTCTAATATACTTTGATTTATGAGTGATATGATTTTAACCACGGAAGGATATATGATATCTGCAACCATAAACGTAAAATATTTCATGGTTCAAATTCCTGTTATCGATGGTTCTGTGAACATTACATGGGGATAATTTATATTATTTAGCGCTAGAAAAAATTGGCTGTATCTGACTAATAGGATATTATATAACTTGTTCGTGATATCATTTTTATATCACCACCAAAAGTGATCATTTTTATGTCACCACCAAAATGGTGACATATTGTTATGGTCTCCGTTTTTGTGACCGCGGCTGGCGTCTTAATTGACGGTTGACGTCTGTAAAAACCTCCAATCACTTAACAAATACTGTTTAGACTAAAACATTATGCTTGACTTATCCAAAATTTCAATATCATACACAGCTACCAAGATGAACGTATTTAATAATAATAGTACAATAACGTCATTTCAAAGAACAATATAGTGGAATATTGGGCCAAGGGCCGCAGGCCCAAGGTCCAATATTTCACTATAGTGTTATCGTGTCACTATATCGTGCCATTAGAAAGTTAAATAAGAAATGGTACATTTTGAAGTGTGATACCCCGGCGCCATTTTCAATAGCTTTCCATCCCAGCGTAATTGGACTTCAAACAGAAGTGAAAGTTACAAGCAAATGATATATCCATTGCATGGAGTAAGTAATTTTCTTTGGTATAATGAAACATTTAAGTAAAAAAATAAAAAGTGAAGTATTCTTAGTGTTGTTATGAGAAATAGCATGCTCCGTCACAGCGGACAAATATTTCGATACCAGCCTGTATCTCAAGAGGGAAATGTCAAAAAGGTCTTTTTTCAACTTGACTCAAAATTACTTATAAGTTCCCAGAAGTTCAAATCTGACTTAAGATTTAACTCATGATATCGAGAGCAACTAGGTCATGTTGTCATGTTAATGCCTAATATCTTTTTGTGTCCACCTCACTCTCTCGCTGCGCTGACTCGTAAAGATGGTCGATATCTTTCCATGGATAAAAATTATATCCCTCAAAAATCATAGGATATCCTTTATTCATCCAATGAATACGACTTAAATATATAACTTTACACTCTGGTTAGTGAGATTTTTCGTATTTAGTATCATGCAATATAGAAAAACTTAAATTATATAAAAATACATAATAAATACCAAGTTAGTAGGAATATTACAATTGTTATTTCAATATAGTAGTAATCCAAATTACCTATCTCAGCAGCGATGTAGGGAACCATGAATATCGAAATGCCCCATAATAACAGCAGTAGTCGCTGGGTCAAATCCACCGCACTATTTCGCATCTTCCCCATAGAAAACATATGTAACGAATAAAGATGATTTTCTTGTTTATCTTTACAAGTAAAACACCAAAATATCAAACGTCTAATTTATATCATCCAATATACCACTCCGTAAACTTCCTTGTATTTTCTGATGCAGAGAACACACGATAGTGAAAAATTGCAAGGCTGTGCTTGGAAATCAAGCGATTACACTAATTTCCCTTAGTAAGAGCAATTACCATCATGAGGAATCATGGCATCCATTAAACGTTCTCGTTCAGCGATATGTTTGCTTAACCTTCTGTTGGAAAACCGAAAATTAAATGCGATGAGCATCATATCAGAATGAGTATGACTGTAATAGTATAATTTGCAATTTATGTTTTTACTTAGAAAATGATATATGGTTGTTTACGATGAGGCATTTAGAACATTTCTTATGCTTTAATTAGCGTTAATACCCCATCAGCCACTAATATCTGAAATAGCAGGTAATCGGCATATGGCACAAGGTAGTGGGGAGACTGATATCTAGTCCCGTAGTTAATAAACGAGGTCATTCTGTCTCCTAAACAACTTATATTATTACATGTTATATGTATAATACATTTGGCTTTTACGCGTTTTTCGTACATGAACATGTAAAGTTATTGCCCTCTGGGGATTCCTTCTCCCCTTCGTAATATCCATTTCACCGATTGGGTAGAAAGGTAAATGGAAAGTATTCGTTCCTGAAAAAACAATTGCATGGTGGACATAGATAACGCGTTCCAGCCACGCGTTCAAAACGAGGCTGTTCAAAACGAGGCTGCAACGCGAAACAGACGCAAATGGAGGCGACTCCAATTTGTCGTCTATTTCCTTGAAACATAGGTAATGTTTTGAAAACTCATGCTTCACATGGACAACCCACATGGACAACCCCTCAAGGTATGTAAAGCCATAGGAATTTCCGTTAGGGCTTGGCCAGAATAAAAAAATAGTCATGACAAATATGATTTCCCGATTCTATGTTTCTTGAGCTACCTTCTAATTCCAATTAAGGTGGCATTTCGCGACTCATGATGAGCAAATTTAGCCTTGGCATTCTATGGCCTGACACATTATAGAATGTACAATACAAATTAAGATTGAAACTTTTGTTTGTTTGCTTACAAAATTGAACTCGCCGGAAACGCGACACAGTCATTTTCAGCAATATGGCAACGCATCCACAGCATACATGTAGATTTGATTGTATGGCAACGCGGCAAAGGCACCAACTTTCTCTGTATTGTAAGGCGCAAAGTAGTTATGAAATGGCGATGACAAAATTTTCCGAAAAAACCTTCAAAATGGCCACCAGAATACAAGATGACCGCCCAAAAATTAATCAGCTCTAGAATTTACCATACCATGTGTGCGAATTTGGAGAAAATCTGACAAACGGTTTTCCTGAAATAGCGATGACAAAAAATGGGATGATCACGACAACGATAACAAGAGACTGGCGACTATATCCTACCGATGGTGTGATAAGAAAAATAGTAAGATCTAAATCGTACCTTTGAGATTCAGTCATTGTCGAAGCAAATCTGCTTCGGTAACTAGGTTATTTTCAATTTGACCATATTTTTAAAAAAAATCATCTACAAGTTCCCAGGAGTTCAAATCTGACCTTTACTTGATCTTTGGTGACCTTCGAAAGCTCAATTGCAAAAAGCTGATTTTCAATTTGATTTTTTGGATTCAAATTCTGGTTAGCTTAATCACAAAAGACCCAGTGCGCTCTGAAAAGGTAAAATGTCAAGTTCATCAAACTAGATCACAAACTGTGCTGTCAATTGCAAAGTTTCTCAAAGTTCGAGTCTCTAGAAATCAATATTTTTGGTTGAAACTCAGGATATACATTCCTCTAAAGGTTCTTCACTGTGTCAGCACAGACCGGGTGGGTCCTGCATTAGATTTAAGGGGATCATCTGCCAGGATTTTTGTGCTGAATGAAGGACAGTGTTATAAAGTACCTACAAACAACCTGCTTTTAGAAATGATTAATGATATTCTTATTATTGATTATATATAATTGACATACGATGAATGTATATAACATTTAAAAATATATAATAAGCACCATAAATGCCCATGTTAAAGTTGCTGCGAAAATTGTCTGGGACATATTTCTAAAGCATTTTCAATACAAAAGTGATGAATCGACTTTCCTGCTCGGATGTTCATCAATTTGAAAAATTGTATCTTAAGGGGTGTTTTCATGATTTTCTAGAAACGTTATATAATAACATACTTTGTGATAGCTTGCAATTGGACAATCAATGCACTATCAGAAAACCACTGCACATTTCTCTTGGGATATACAGATTTATGCGACGCAATGTTTTGGAATAAGTTTTGAATGTTTTGAAATATGTTTATATGATCAATCAAAAATAGCATTTTTCTCAATTACCAAATTCTTCAGGATAACATTTTGCGTAAAAATTAATTTACAAGTTTCCTAATCTTCGTAGTTCCTTTTTGCATATTATTTATTGATAATATTTATTCATTTATTTACGTATTTAAAACATTAGAAAGATTTTTGCAATATAAGTAATTTTGCGTCATATTGTACATTTAAACAATTTTAAACGTTCTGATATTTTTGTTGTCTTACATCTGCTATCACAGGTAGCACAAACAAAAATACACAAAATATTAACAATATAACAAGATACACAATTAGTAGGAATCTATCTAGGATCTGTGCAACCTTTTGCCATTCCTCTTTCCTCCTTGTTTCATTACAGTCGATTGCACTGCCATCTATAATTGCAGGATCATCGGACATTTGGATCACGGTGTCATCTTTTCCCGCATCTTTTGTACTGCTTGTTTCCTTATGTCTATTACATCTGGCATCTTTACTTTCACCAAAGTCCAATCTTGGTGACACATTGTTTTCTGAATTACTTGAAACTCTACGATATTCGTCCAATGAAAATATCTTGTAACGTTGCAAACAGACTACTTTTAGGACTATCTCGAATGCGAAATATCTTAGCCATCTCGGCACAGGGTAAATCGCATCGTGGTGATGCATTTGAAGAATGGTCACCGTTAGAATTATGGAACTGGCACTCAACGTCATCAGTGCCGCCAAATAAAGTGCTGGAATTGGTAGATCAATACATAGAGGACATGTAGCAGCGATAACTACTAACTCGCTTCCGTAGGCCGTAGCTTCCCAAAATCGATTTTTGAACCTACGGCGGCCGTAAGGAAATTGTGAATGAGGCAGTGAGGTTAAAGTATAAATCTTAATTATACATTGATTATTTCAGCTATAAAACGTAACTTTTCTTCAACTTGAAAAGTAACCCCCCCCCCCCCTATCACACCAAACTAGTTTTTACCCGTTCTTGCCAGTCCTACGAAAACGTTGTAAGACGGGCTCAATCTGGCTGTGGTCGGGAAATATGTCTAAAATAACTACTTCGTTCATAAACAGTCTTCAATACGTCCATCTCATTCGCAGTTCGGTCAGGTCGCACCACGTCGGTGTGCAACGTTGTATAACGCGTCTCTTAGTCTAGAAGGTCATCATGACCTGATTACAGAACGGTATGGTCGCCATCGAATTTTGAATCATTTCAAAATTCTAAACTTACCTTCCCGTCTGAGAACGTTCATGAAGTTCGTACATAGTCCTTAGAAAGTTGCAGCTACGTTCATTCCGTTCGCACACAGTTTAAAACCAGTTTTGAAGAACGCAGTGGCAACTTGTTTGGTGTGATAGCTATATTTTTGCTAACTCGTTCATTATGGTACGTTCACACCAACGGCGCTTTGATGGCGCTTTAAAGCGGCTTGTAAAGCGGCACCAAAGCGTAACAAAGCTTAATTAAAGCGTCGGGGTCGTAATAGGTCGTAGAAAAGCTCGGGAGTAAAGCGGGATATTCGGCAAGAGCGCTAAAAAATTTAAACTGTTTAAGCGTTCGCACCAACGGCGCTTTGATGGCGCTTTAAAGCGGATTGTAAAGCGGCACCAAAGCGTAACAAAGCTTGATTAAAGCGTCGGGATCGTAATAGGTCGTAGAAAAGTTCGGAGTAAAGCGGGATATTCGGCAAGAGCGCCAAAAATTGTTAAACTGTTTAAAAATTTTGGGCGCTCTGTTACGAATTGATTGAAGCGCCGAGAGCGTATCAAAGCTTAACAAAACGTAACAAAGCTCAACAAAGCTTGACTCAAAGCGTAGGAAAGCTTAACACAGCTTGGTTCAAAGCGGGGACCCCAGTCTATTCACGGTCTGTTACCACTTGACACGCTTCGTTAAGATGTCTCAAGATTTGCTACGATCTGGCATGAAGATCTGGCACGAGGTCAGACGCTTTCATCAATATCTGACACTCTTTGTTACACTTTCCTGAGGGACTCTCAAGCTTTCCAGCGAATTGAGACGCTTTAATCAAGGATTGAAAGGCTTTGCTAGGCTTTGTTACGCTTGAAAGTTTTCACACGCTATATCACGCCGTGCGACAAACGTCATGTCTTCTTCAGATAGGTCATGCTCTGGTCCATCTGGAATTTCTGGATCTCGTTGTTCTGCCATCGTGTTCTCGAGTCAAAGATGCAATGGTTTTATGAATCTACTGCATCTTTATATAGTCATTGGATCAAAAGCGGCATGGAATCGGCGATCTCGACATTTTCCAATGCGTGACAGAGCCTAACAGAGCGTAACAATGCACAACAGAGTTTTGCAATCGTATCAGAGCCTGATTTAAAGCGTCATAATCGCATCAAAGCGTAATAATGCTTATCAAAGCTTTTCAAAGCGTGATTTCAAGCGTAACAAAGCCTGATCAAAGCGGGATCAAAGCATGAGGAACCTTTTAGAGCTATGTTAAGCTTTCCTACGCTTTGGATCAAGTTTTTCTGAGCTTTGTTACGGTTTGTTAAGCTTTGATACGCTCTCGGCGCTTAATCGATTCGTAACAGAGCGCCCAAAATTTTTTAAGAGTTTAAAATTTTTTGGCGCTCTTGCCGAATATCCCGTTTTACTCTGAGCTTTTCTACGACCTATTACGACCCCGACGCTTTAATCAAACTTTGTTACGCTTTGGTGCCGCTTTACAAGCCGCTTTAAAGCGCCATCAAAGCGCCGTTGGTATGAAGAAAAATGACAAAAATGACGGCGCTTTGCTCGCCGATTTAAAGCGTGGCATTCGCCGTTGGTGTGAACGTACCTTAAGCAGTCTTTAATACGTTCTTAATCAGTTTAAACCTGTTTGCAATTAGTTCTACCTCGTTCTCAATACGCCCTCAGACAGTTCAACTCGTTGTAAAACAACCCTAGTAGGATTGAAGTACGACGGTTCCGTTCGTAACGTACAGCTCGTCGTTAGTACGTTGTCACTCGTTCTTATTGTAGAACGTGACGACCACGAGAGGATTTTGAGCATGTTCTAAGTTCTAGAGGACCTACCCGTTCAAGTACGTTCGTTGAAGTCTATAAATAGACCCCAAACGGTTCTAATTACGTCCAGTCCGTTCGTACACAGTTGAAGCCAGTTTTCGAGAACGTAGTGAGAACTAGTTTGGTGTGATGGAAGGGTAAGTTTTGATTTCGATATATTGTACCGTGCCGCACCACTGCCGTGTCGTATTGTAATGTATGACATGGCATGGTTTTTATCACCGGATGAACTCTTACTTACCTATAAACGGAATGCTGTCGGATTTCTTCGGGATCTGTCCGGCAACCAATAGAAGAAAAACATCTAGAATGATAAAAATACCGTGATCCCCATCGAGATTTTCTCGCCAGCTTCCGGCGGAAGTAGAAAAAGAAACATCACCAAGAAAGTCAAAATAACACATGGTACGATCACATTCACGATATGGTACAGAGACTTCCTTTTTAGGAAAATAATGAAATCTATAGTTGGGTATGGTTTCATGTCAAAGAAATCATTGAAGATCCTAACATCAGTTTTCACGACATTCCATTCACCATTTTCTGTATATTTTTCCATGATAACCCCTGGAAAAAGTAATTCAGTTGATCAAATTATTTTAAGCATACAAAAAATCATTGTAGTTTAGAAGTAATTCTAGACTACACAATATCACATGAAAATCATTAAAGTGGTTTGTAATTATTCAATCGTTGCGAAACAAAAATTGCTCTGATACACATCCAGGCTACTTACCGGCCTTAGAAGATATGTTTTGGTGGAAACCATGATACATCGCGTTTGCAAAACTCAATGTGCACTTTTGGGAATCAAATGGAAAATATGTGACGTCCAGAGAGCATGTTGATTCAAATGAGCCCCCTGGTGGCCAAAGAATATTTCCGGTATAGGATATATCCACTCTAAAGTCTTCGTAGAAGGAGGAATCGATCAATTTGTTGGCACTATATAATAAAATAAGTATTTTTAAAAATAATATAATCAATATATTAGATCGACAAATAGTAAAACATTTAATTTCAGGCCTAAAATCTTACTCGATGACCTCACGGAAATTATTACAGGAGAGGCTGCGTTTAAAGCGTTGGACATTTGCTCTACGCCAGCCGCACGACGGCCGTAGCTTCACAAAGTCGATATAGAAAATCCACATCGTACTGCTTATCCCTATATTTTGTGCTGCATATTTCTCTCGGTTTTGGGAAGCTACGACCGCCGTGGTTGCCGTAGATTAGATGTGTCTGAGGCATTACTTTTATTTCTGTCGTTGCAAATCAAACTACAATTTGGTGTACCTATTTTCTAGAAAGATATCTGGAAGCCAAATTTTCTCTGCAGGAACAACTAATTCGGTTACGTTTGAAAATTCTTCTGGGACCCATTGTAGAAATTCGTCTGTCCATACCTAAAGGTTCAGTTGATGATATAATGTAAACACACAAAAACAAAAGTTTTGATAAGTAATCATCAAGCCCGGTCATCAAGTTCATTTTACAGTTACTTACACATCTGATGAAGCATATTGTTTTCAACATCTCGTGTGTCTCATCCTGAAAATGATAGAATAATATATATATGGTACAGATTTTGAATCATTGCATTCATTGATCGTGATTTTTATTTACGTTTTGCAACCGAAGTCCAGTTTTAATGTTTATGAATTCGCTTTAATTGGCATAACATAAACCGGCTGGCAGACTCAGGCTTAAAGGAAGATTTCATTTTTTGATAATCAATTTCCAGGTCTCACCAGTTCTTTAATCTGCCACAACCACAGGGATACATCAACATCTACAGTGTCTCGTGCATCAGATCTTGGGCGAGTTAACTTATCATAATCCTTCAACAGTGCTCTGTGTAATTTGGATTCGTCGGAGTTCTTTGAATTAGGTAGGCGCGGTGCTGTTGTTCCAAGGCCTGTTGGGAGTCGGGGTAGTTGTTAACTAATTGGTTTTATACAATATGGGATGAGTTTTGTATAGCTTCGAATTCTCACTAATTCTCGTTTTTGTAAGATTTAAAGAGGTTTGCACATTAAATCTCGAATGACTTACATTTCCTTTTTAATAGCATATTTGAATTTGAATTCAACTTTTCTTAAAAGTGTGGGCCAAATATCCATGGATACAACGTACCAAAAGTTGCGATTGGGGAATTATGCACGTTGATCCAAAAAGTCTCACTTGAATTGATCTAATGTTATTAAAGACGTACGATCCACTTTCCAATTATTACTTTGTTTCTCTATGGCTTAAAAATCATGGTTTGATCATAATATTCTTTGATACAGCTTTTCCCTTTGGAGAAACTAGAACTAACATATCTCATTTGATATTGGCTTTAAGAGAAAACAGGTAACAAATTCGAATTTGCTGGCCAGCATATCAACGAAACACTTGGGGCCGCATAAATAGAGGAATTCAGGCCGAAAACGACAAATTCATTTCAAAAACTGATAAGGACCAATTTTAACATTAATCAATTATTTTCCTAAACATACGTCTTACAGTTACCTGAGGTTTGCATTTTTATAAAACCTCGGCAGAAGTCTTGGCAGATTTAAAGATGAAATGTCTCTTTAATTAGGTTTCTCGCCCGATCAAGCAGTGATGTCCCATTGTAATTGCTTATATAATTCTTACATACTGTACATGTACCTTACAATTATGTATCAATCTCATGATCAACGTATGGGCATAGTATTGCCGCTATACATTGAGAAAATCAACATAACAACCCACTGTCAGAATTGAACCCAATTTGAGCTTTCCGCCATCGAAAGGAATATTTTCGTGACACGAGTTTCTGAATCAGAGCGTTTTTTCGATTTATCTCCGAATTTTCGACCGTCTAGTTAATAATTCATTTCTGCGTCATTTCACGGGGTACTCAAATTGTGCACCTATCAGGACGCTGCCTTTTTAATTGCCTAACGTGATAATCCACAACCCGATGTTTGTCATCCATTTTGATACCAATGAGAGCATCAATTCCTTCACGGAGAAGACCGACTGTACGATATATAGGGTGCCAAAAAACCAATACCAAAGTTAAAAGATTAAAGATTAATATCATATGGTATATGTTAACTCATACCATGTTTTATCTATCATTTTAAAGATAAATCATTTTCTAACAATATGATACCATCCGATTGAAAACCCATTGCTTTATTGAAGAGTTAGATGCTAAAAATGACACCAGGGGTGTCATGAGCGACCAAAAATTATTCACTGCGGATTTTCAAATTGTGGAATATGGAGGGAAATTTGAACTTTGGCACCTTTAAAAGAGGTACATTTATACAAGAACAGTTCAAAGTTGACCAATAATAATCGTCATAACGATGGATCGTAGTAATGGCGGACCATATTCGAAACATTTTGGTGAGTTTTCATGTTCGAATCGTAATATAGACCTCAGAGCAGGGGTAATATCGTCGAATACACTCCTTAGGACTAGGCACAAAAACTTTCGAACCCCTCACTCCCTTCGGTCGTTCGGGGTACAGAAAATGTTTGTGCCAAGCCCTGCGGGGTGTATTCGACAATATTACCCCTGCTCGTTTTCGGTCTATATTTCTTAAATAAATTCATAATGATTCGGTCAAGATTGAGTGCAGCTGGGACTGCAATATGGGTGTACATTTTTTAATTTTCCTTTTCTGATTTTTGGTCGCTCATGACACCCCTGGTGTCAATTTTAACCTCTAACTTCACGAGAAAACAAAATCTTTTCAATCGGATGGTGTCATATTGTTAGGGAATGATTTATCTTTAAAATGATATATAATACATGGCATGGTTTAAGATATATCATATGAATCATTCATCTTTAAAGGACGATTCTCGGTTTGGAGAACAGCCTCCTGGGCTAAAAAAAAATTCATGAAAAATATAGAAATATTACCCAAATTAAACTATGAATATTCAAAAGAGGACAATTAAATCTACAAGATGTAAAAATAACAAATTGGTCTGAAGCAGGGATAATGCTCAAATAGACCAATTCAATAAAAACAAGTCTCGATTTGGGGAAAGAAGTTCATTAGTGTACTGCGCTAATATTTTTTTGCGAAAAATGTAGAAATATTACCCAAATTAAACTATGTCTATTCAAAAGAAGACATTCAAATCTATGTTATGTAAAAAAAATCAAATTTGTCCGAAGCAGGGATAATGCTCATTTAGATTGATGAACTTCGTTCTCCAAACCGAGAATCGTCCTTTGAATATTGTTTTCTGGCCCACCCTGTATATGTTAATCGTATATTAATCATTTTATAATTTCTATTTTGTTTATCTGTAGAAACAAAACAGTCCGACCTACCTCTCTCTAGATCTGCAGTGGTGTAGTAAACCATAAACATCCAGTTGGTAACCCATAGTAACAGCAGTTGCTGAGTTAAATCTCTCACGCCAGTTCGCATTTCAGAAGAACTTCCAAAAACTGCAAGAGTCTAGAATTCCACGTTTGACGGTATGACACTTTGGATTGCCATCATCCAATATTTTCAGCCTATATATAACAATAAATAAAGTCACCGTGCGAATCGATAGCAAGATTCCCAAATGGACCATAGTTTTAATAAGCTAAATGCCAGGCAGAAATTGATCAATAAATAATTAATGGACGTTTTTCAATTCCTCCATATATTTCTGAAATATTCTATTTTAAAGAACAACTTTTTCCACCGGATATTTTAGAACCGTCAATTTGCGTACTTTCGAATTCATAGTTACGAAAGTGTGCTTTTTGTAAAATGCCCATGTGAGCAACCGTGTACTACTGTACCAGCACTTAATGATATCCCTATACAGTCAATCTTACTCAGATAAAATTAATTCAAATGTAAAATTATGAATTTACTTGATAAATAAAGTTCCATAAGTTTGTCAATCGGAAGTTTTCATCGGATGGCATTTCAAAGCCTGAATCTTAACTCTATCCCATTACTACAATAGCTCGGAATATTATGATTTCACCTGTACTTTGTCAGGTGTTATGAGTAGAGCGTGCAGTGCACCCGTGTGATACGGCAAAACAGCCATAATTCACGTCACCATACTAGTCAATGGGCAAAAGGGCAAACGCCTGACTTTTTATCTCGAGTTATGGATTTATGTGGCCTCGCTGGCCTATCTGAGGTTTTAAAGCTATGTCTAAGCTACATTTTGACACTAAACTCAATGGGGACTAAACATCTACTTTTTGAAATAATTTGTCAATTGTGACACTACCCCCTCTCTGCCGACAGAAATTGAAATTCACAAAAATGAAGGCAAAATTAATACGCAACTTGACTCGAAATTTTCCTTCAGATAACCCATATAAACGCATTTAAGAAATGGCGTCATTGCAAAAAGATGACAACTGTACAGTACCTACAGTACACTAGCTTAGGATATAGTGATTTGGTTTTCTGTATAAAAGGTCATTTTTCTCCTTTCCTACCCCATTGAAGCGCCATCTGGGAAGTGAATTGGGACTAAATATTTATAAGGTAGGTCCTGATTTATCTGAAAACATGTCAAAGTTCAGTGGGAAATCACATTTTTAGCTAGCGGCGGACTGATTTTGACCTTGGTGATTTTACCAGAATTCTCTGAGAAATCTGACGATAGAGGGGGTTAGTGTCTTCAAGTTTATTTATCTCAAAAATTCGGTGGACAACCCATGGTAAGATTGTTATAGCAGGCTAGGCGAGTCTCTCCCGAACACTGTGGTATGTTGCACGAGGCTTGGATACTAGTCGTTAATAAGATACAGGGTAAAATGTTATAATGGCCATCTATGGGAAACTCTACTGTGGTCTTCAACCTTACTGACTCGTGTCTGGGAAAACTGTATGTCAAAGAAACTATTCTGCCAGATGGGCACGGGTTTGGCTGAATCAATATTTTTTCTCTTCGGTTGACAAGGAATCGATGCGCAATATATTTCAATGAAAAGGGTTGGAGTGAGAGACAAAAATTGCGAAAGAATTCCTGGAAAAAAGTTCAGTAAACAATGTCATCAAAAAAGTTGAAAGAACGGGTTCTGTAGAAAGAAATTTAATGCAGTGGACAACCAGAAACTGTTTGCCATTCTTGTTAAGATTCACCTGCTGGAGAAAATTTACTCTTAAATGGTGACGCTTAACGTTTAGCAAATCGAACGCTCGTTTTTAAAAAGCGCGATCAAGGAATAATCTCAAGGAAGTCACTGCGTAAATACCTCTGCCTGTTTATGTAGGACTAGTATAGTCACTGCTACCCACCTAATTACACAGACGTATCGTCGGTGTATCATGGCGGAACTTCCTCCGGGACTAGGTTTCGGTAAGATTTTTTTATTTCCCGATTTACACCTACTTATAAGTCACGTTGTGGATGATAATTTGGCTCGAAGTTAAGGAAGATTTTTTTTTTCATTTCTCATTTATTCCAAATATAACATAAAATACATTACAAGGAAGATAGTCTAGTTTGAGAATGTGTCGATGGTTTTAGGTTTTATATGTTAACAAAGACACAATTCACGTATTTAGTCTCTCGCTTTTCTTACACTGACCCCGGGACACTGACGAACGACCAATATCAGTGTAATATTGGCAATATTAATGCCGATCGTCAGTGTAAGAAAAGCGAGGGGCTAAATACGTGAATTGTGTCTTTGTTAACATGTAAAACCTAAAACCATCGACACATTCTCAAACTAGACTATCTTCCTTAACTTCGAGCCAAATTATTATCCACAACGTGACTTATAAGTAGGTGTAAATCGGGAAATAAAAAAATCTTACCGAAACCTAATCCCGGAGGAAGTTCCGCCATGATACACCAACGATACGTCTGTGTAATTAGGTGGGTAGCAGTGATAGTATAGATCGTCACACATTTATAAAAGGGTGATTTTTATTTGGACAAATCAATTTCGCATTTATGGGTGAAGTTTTAAGATCTTCTTTTTGTGTTTAGTAGGAAAAAATGACATCTAGTTTTACCCATCACGTATTAATAGCACATAGCATGGTCTTAATGCAATGTCCTGTAAATGAAACAAGGCAGTTTTGGATTAGTACAGGGTGGTCAAAAAATGGAAACCCTGCATTTTCCTTATATCTTTGTCACTTTAAGGAATTACTCCCTGATATTTCACACATTTGTACATCATTCAATTTCCTACCACCCTACCATATTTCATGACCATCAGACTGATAGTCACAATTTTACAGCACTTTGAATAACATGCTTCAGATTTGACCATTATCGCGCTGTAGGCAAAACAGCACAGTTGGCAATGAACCAAATGCATTCCTCAGCAGTTATGGCCTGAATGAAACAGATGATCTCACTTTTGAGGTTCGCAATTGTCCTGAGGTCATTCTCATATACTCTATCTCTGCCATATCCCCAAAGGTAGGGACATTTTAGACGATGAGTACAGGTTTCCCCACAACGCAATAGTGGCCACTGGGCATGTTCTTTCAAGTACTGTAACATTGTGACTATCAATCTGATGGTCATGAAATAAAGTAGGCTGGTAGCAAATTGAATGATGTACAAAAGTGTAAAATATCAGGGAGTTATTTTTTAAAATGACAAAGATATGAGGAAAATAGTAATAGGGTTTCAATTTTTTTCGACCACCCTGTACAAGGATTTAAATTGGATAATGCACGTGCATCCTTTGGATAATTCACTCTCCCGATGTTTACAGAATCATTGTAAACAGATTATTTTATCTTCAAGACGATTTCAATAAACTGGAATTTACAAACCTCATTCAAGACGATTTCAATAAACTGGAATTTACAAAACTCACCTAATTTCTTAAAAATAGACTTGCCTTGAGCCGCCATTTTGTTTTTATACGGGAAGCTTATCGTAACCTTTTGAAGAGATTCAGGACTCGATTCATGGGAAAACGTCTGCGCACCATCTACCGAGAAGATCGAGGACCAATTGACCACATTTTCAAGTGAAACTTGGAAAGATGCCATTTTGAAATGTCAGGAACATGCCTTTTCAACTCATTTTTATGTCACCACCAAAAAGTGGTGACATATTATTATGGTCTCCGTTTTTTGTGGCGGCGGTTGGCGTCTGTAACAAAACTTGGCGTCTGTAGCAAATTCTTAAAACTTCAAATAACTTAACAAATACTGTTTAGACTGACTTCAGTTTTTTCAAAATGATCTACAAGTTTTCAGAAGTTCAAATCTGACTTTAGATTTGACCTACATTGACATTTTCAACTTGCTTCAAAATGACCAATTTTTATTTCAAAATTATCTACAAGTTATCAGAAGATCAAATCTGACTTAGGATTGAACTGATAATATCGTGAGCAACTAGCTACATGTAGGTGGTGACATTTTGTCATGTTAATGCCTTGTATTGATTTTGGTCCCATTAACAGAATCTTAAAGGATTTATCTGAGATTTGGTAGGGATATTTAAGGACATGATGGCGTTTGATTGTGTAAAATTTTAGACGCGGACAGAGTTCACATGTTGTAAAGTATGCCCACCCGATAAATTCATTAGTTGATTGGTCTTCTAATTGGTGTCCTAAAAATTGTTCTTATTTCAGGAAGCTGCCCATCAGATTGATTCAAAATGGCTGAGTCCCGTCTCTCAGCCCTTAACTAAGTATTCATAGAAATAGAAATACAAGTATTTGAAAGAGGACGCCACTTTGGTTGTACATTTTAAATGGAACGAAATCTTTAATATAGATGGCATTTTCACTAAATAAAACACATTGACCAAGACTATGGATTTTTGCTTATTTGTCATTATTCGTCAATTTGTAAATGGAACATTTGTGTTCGTTACTTGTTTTTTCAATTTTGTTCAAATATTATTTCTCGTAGTTACCTGTATCATACTGAGATATATTTCAAAGTCACCATTAAATGTATATAAGAGACAATTAAACTAAATGAGGGCTGTTGCTTTATCACGCCTATCCATCGACAACGTACAGCGACAAAATATATGGATGTACACTTTAGCTGCGCGTTGTCATGTTTGAAGCAAAAGTTGTGATTTAGGTTTTAAAAGATTTATCTTATGAATATGATGAAGTAGTTCATGTTTAATTCCATGTACATGCTCTTGGCAACACTTTTAACTTCCTAATTTCGTTAACATAAATAAACATATTAATATCGTTTTGTATTTTACTTGCGATTTGGAAATTGATTTCATTGCATTGATTTTAATTACATAATCAAAATAATATATACGTTGTTAGAAATTTATCCAATACCCGTACGTGTTACACTACACATCGTCGCATGAGAATAACTTTGTACTATCTCACATTTTTACGGAACTGAGAAATCAAGGTTTGAAAGCCGGTTTAGAGCTCTGTATCTTACTTAGTATTGCTATGTGAAACTTGATTTTTTGTATGTCACCTGGTCTCACCCTAGAGATATCTTATATGAAATATCATACCTTGAAACAATTTACAAGATCCTTTTTTAAAACTATGGAAATGGAGTTGATACAATTTCCCACCGGAATAACAGCTTATTTCTAATTTCAAATTGTCATATCTGATATCAACTGTTTCAACCAATCAACTCTCTAAGAATTGGTCATGTGACTTGCAAAACTTGGAGTTATAACAATCTTATATTAAAACAAAGTATGCCAATATGCATGTTATTGTATCTAGAATGAAAAATAATGTTTTGCTTTGTAAAAAAGTCTTCAAAAACTAAAGAATATTATTTAATAAAATAAAGAAAATTCAATTTATAAAACTTTAAAATCAATTTCTCAAATAAGTACAATTATTTCTTAATTTTGGAATCCCAGGACACCCTTCAAAAAGAATTTATTGCCTTTGAAACTAAGGCAGAAGTACAATGCATTGAAACCAATGATGCCAATACGGTCCCCCACATATTTCCCTCGGTATAAACCCTGTAGCCTAAACCTCCCAGCACATTACAATGTAGCCCCTAAGGGCCTGTCCGCTGGTCATTATCAGGTTATTTTTGATACAGACCAGTTGATTTTTTCACTGGGTATAGGAGAATAACATTGCAACCGGTCCGTAATTCCATTTTGACCAGCAGGTTTCAGATCCTTAGGGCCTAAGACATAACCAATTTTTATTACATGCACATGGAAGAAATTTGAAAATAGAAAAATAAATTCTAATTCATTTTAGATTAATGAAAGTGATGAAACCTCGATTTAGGTAATCACATTTTGTTCATTGGGATGCAGCTATCATTATCCATTCATTTTCTGTTGTTTGCTACTCTGTGGAGTACAATTGGGAATTGAAGCAATTGTAGAAGTGGAGACTAAGAGTGGCTCTTTGTAAAGAAATTGAACCAATTTGTTACTTTTCCAAAATAAAATGTAGATGATCTAAAAACAATGATCCCAAAAATGCAAAAGAAAGGACAAATCTGAAAAACATACTAGTAATAAAATAATTAAAAAGATCCCAGATGTTCAGTGAAAAGCGCATTTAGTAAATCATAGATGAAGATAAAATAAAATAAGTGTTTTAAGGGACTATACTCACATAAAGATAACTCCTTATTGATATAGTGTATGGTCAATAAAAGTTAAAGCTAGGTTAAATAGATTTAGCTTTTTTCCACAAACTATAAAACATCATTTTGAAAGAGATTTCAATAGTATACAGACAGTGATTGCCTTTGAGCAATGTAGTGCAAAATATGACAGTTACTATTTGTTTTGATTACTATATCTAGTATATAACCTATTATTATGTACTCTATTTGAAGAAACAAATAAGTAGTCTTTCATTTTCAACATTTAATGATGACAGCTTCGTATATGCATTTCTATTGCATTTGGCCATTCAAACCCCTATAAGACCTGGTAGCAGGGAAGATAAAGGGTACTTTTGACTGCTCACATGATCTAATTAACTGGTCATTTGTACAGGCATGCAAACTGGCATGGTATTGTGTTACAAAACATTATTTCATTCTAGATACAAGAACATGCATATTGGCATACTTCGTTTTAATATAAGATTGTTATAACTCCAAGTTTTGCAAGTCACATGACCAATTCTTAGACAGTTGATTGGTTGAAACAGTTGATATCAGATATGACAATTTGAAATTAGAAATAAGCTGTTTGTCTGGAGATGGTACAATTTCACACTGAATTCTAGCTTAATGAGAGGGAATTGAGATGGGGCATGTATCTGAGATGAAAGCCTGTGTTTCAAATAGTAAAATTCCATGTCTATCTCAATTTTTTTGAAAATGGCAGTTAGAACAAAGTTATTCTCACGCGACGACATGTAGCTATATCTGATACGCAGAAGCAATGATATATCATGAAATGCGTAAGCTTGTATCTTGCAATTAATTCTTACTAACATTCAGAAATGCCTTGCATATACAATATTCCATTTCAGATAATAGAGAGTTTAAGCTTGCATAAAATCGAAACGCCAACCTGTACGTATGACCATTCGCCCATACAAATGCATCACTTAAATATTTTCCGTTCGCGTTTAGGTTGTGAAAACATTGCAAGCTTAAATTCCCTAATGCTAGCATATATGCGTGTACAAGAAAATATATATAGTTATATACGTATGCAATTCAAATCATTTAAAGAAACGTTTATACGTGTCTATATTAACACGTTGAGTTTAGGCATACACTATATTCGTATACAATTCACGAATCACGTCAAGCAAAGAAGCGTCTATACCTGTATACATGTACAGAATAACACGTGAAGGGCAAGTATATAAGTATATATGCAGTACGTGTACAATTCAAATCATGTGAAGAAACGTTTATACGTGCATGTGAGTACTTCTACAGAATAACACTTGCAGTGTACGCATATCACGCACGTATTCAATTGAAGTCATGTACAAAATCAAAAAAGTCTATACGAGTATACGTGTACGTAATTACACACGAAGTGTACGCATACTTCATACGTATGTTATTCTAGTCATGCAACTGCCACTGCATATTCATTAATCATCGCTTTTCAGAATACTTATCCGTAACTGCTATACGTTATCGTCGTTTACCGCTCTTTCTTCCTCCGGTTGCTGCACCCTTTGATCCCATATATGACTTTTCTTTGCGGGACAACCCACCAAATGGGCTCATGCCTTTTGCCGATTTGCGTTCCCCGTACATTTGATACCCACTGACATTCGGTCTCTCGGTTCCTTGACCTGGGCGTTCTCCGAAACCATGGTTGTTATAGTAATAGTCTCTCTCGTATCGATTCAGTTGGTACAGTTTTCCAGGCTTGTCTCTCATCCTATGAGAACGTCTCATCATCGCTGTTGATGAACCTGTCAAACCAAATCCCACCTTGGAACTGGTAGAATGGCGTCTCCCCACGTGCTTTTCACTGCCGTTAGACGAACCACTCTCTCTGCTATCAGTACTCTTTGAGTCGTCATCGTCATCGTCCCACCAGTTGAAGACTGCCTTTCCTCCGTTTGCGACAGTTCGTTCTTTAGTTTCTTGGAGTTCCTTGAATAATTTGGACTCCGATTCATCTGATTCCATAGGGTCTTTCTTGGTAATTTCAGCTTTTTGTTTTTCCTTGGTTTTCGTATCAGTTACGCTATTATCCGAATCGGAGTTGGAATGTGGCATGCCGCTGTCTTCGCTCTCTCTCGCAGTGTCCTTGGGTGTCGCTCTTAGATTTTCTACCGTAACTGCAGTATCTTTCGGTTGAATCGGAACTTCTGGTTGGCGTTTATTTTTAGATTTCTTCAGTCGATTCCTAAACTTTAAGATCGAGAGACAGTTAATTGTAGGAGATGGTGACCTTGACCGTTGATCACGTACTGATCGAATGACTGGGATATGTCTGTGGTTCAATGGAGGTGGGCTATTCTTTTTGGTCTTAGTTTCATTCGGAGCATTATCATTTGTTATAGCAACCTTCCCTAGACGAGTATTTAACTCATCGGCCGCCGCCGGTGACCTTGACCTTCGAGCTTTTGGAGTTGCCTCTCCTTCAGAGTCAGTGTTTTCCCACCATCTAAACTCACCTTTGCCACCTTGGGCGATACTTTTATAGTCTCTCCAAGACGCACCGGGTGGCATAGGCGCCGTTGGTTTCAATGGTTTCTTGGCCTTGCTTTTATTCATCGATTCTTTTTTGTGTTTTTTCTCCATGCCTGATTTCTTTGTATTGACTGGATCAGTATATAATGTATTTATTTTGTTTGTATCCACAATCGTTTGTTTCCCTTTGTCCTCACTGTGTCCTAGGCACGGTGATGTTCCAGTATCAACGAGAGTTTTACGTGGTTTCTCCTTTACAGCGTTTTCTTGGTCGTTTGTGTTACTAGGCGCATCGACAAATACATCGTCTGTATTACTTTGTCCTTCGATGCTTTGTGAGTTTAAACACGTCGGCTCAGAAGAGCTTTCCTCGGGGATTTTAGGCAGATTACCGCTTGAGCAAGACGCAGAGCTCTTACGTAATGGCGCTTGGTTTACAGGTGAATCAGAGGGTACATTTGGTTCAGACTCTGAGCCCGACCCTGATAGTTCGTCCGCACTGGTGGTACTAGATACCGAGCCTCTATTCAGTTTATTATCGTCTCCAAACCCACTATCCTGGGAAATTGTTCTTTCGAATTTCGTATCTCGCACCGCTTCTTCTCGGAGGCGTTCGAGATTCAGCGTTCCCGCCGTATGTGCCTTCTCCTTGCCAGTCCCGGAGTAATTGTTAGCGTCCACCTCGTCTGACATCTCCATGGTGAATTAACACGCCCCCCTGGAATCATAACCACAACAAATAATTTAATAATATAAAATAAGACAGTGCCAACAAAAATATAGACATCCATGACCCTCAGTTTAAGAACCATGATGGGGTTAAAGTGTATTGAAATAGTTTCCTCAAAACACAAACTGTGAATAATATAAATCAGTCACATGTCCTGACAACGAAAGGTATTTTTCAAGAAATCACACATGGCATGGGATGATTTATAATCATAATTATCAGATTTCGACTAATATATGATGGTTTTTAATGTAAGGGATGAACAAAACTGGATTATATAAACAATTGTCAATCAATCCAAATAGCACATTCTCTCTTTCAAAACTTAAAAGGTGTTCGCTGAATCGTATAATTATATGAACCGATTATATTATTATATGATTAGACCAATATACATAGTGTCGTGAGATAATTCAATCACGTATATGAGTAATCCTCTTTAATACATAACAGATAGACCTATCATCTACTACATTTGGCATCGGATACTTTATAATTAAAGGTGTACAATTTATATGTTTTTATTGTGAAACAACGTGACTTCACATTGACATTGAGGATCCCTTTTATCTGCTTCTACTCAGGATAAATCATTCGTACTTTATGTAGATCCTAATTAAAGGTGTATATCCTGTTTATTTATTGTGGAACAACTTGATGTCGAATTGATTTTGCCATATCAAAATATGGGATCCCTTTGTCTCCTAAAGGAGAAATCATTCGCACTATGTAGATTATAATTAAAGGTGTACAATCTGGTTTTACTAATTAAGATGCCATTTAATGAGGTTCAATCAACAAAACACCAACTTCGTCACTATTCTTTCGGGGGAGGGGTATGGGAGTTCCAAATTAGGTTTGTGTAACTTTCAATTAATTTGATTATAAGTAATCGCAAAATGACGAGAAATACTTTCATATGATTTTTACATGACGCACCAGCATAGCCCATATGGTTACTAATTATGTTATATAACTCTTCGAACTATGTATATATCAGGCCGACATATTTTTGACATCCGTCGCATTATACATACAGTCGGTTTAGACGTTAGTCCCCTTTCAAATTTTGGAGTAGAACCGCGGCGCAGGGAGGGCGCAGGTCAGAAAATCGGCAAAACCAAAACCACTCTTAGAATCACATCTACTTTTGTTACGCGGTAAACACGATACAAAAATATGTCATATTCCGCAACGAATATAGCATATTCACTTGCGGTGTATGACAGATTCACCTGCGGTATATGGCCAACATACTAACCAATGAGAACGCGATACGGAAGTACGCAATTATCAATTACATCGATTGAACGAACAAGTAAAACGTTATAAATTATCATAATGATTACTGAATCAACAGTACTGTGTATCGAATATATTAACTTAGCAGAAGTATCAGTCACCAATCTCGCGTAATAAACTTTCTCAATCAAACCAGGATTCATGTATTAGTACTCGACGCACTGACTATATTGGTAATCCAGCGTAGTTTTACATTTAGAGTCGATTTTCGCAACCAATCAAATCAAGGCTTTCTGTATCACGTTTTCACCTGCGGTATATGTCATATTCACCTGCGGTATATGGCATATTCCGCAAGTGAGTATGACATATTCTGCAGGTGAGTATCGGGTATTCACTGAAATCAATGTATCGCATATTCACTGCGGAATATCGCATACTCACCTGCGGAATATGCCATATACCGCAGGTGAGTATGGCATATTCACCCGTATCACGAATACCGCGCAACCATGAATGTATGCCATATACCGCGTAACAACTTTCATAATCTAGGTGTTTGTCAGAAGAAACTACAAGGTTGGTCTAGCTACAAGACCTTGCATACACACACACCGTACCTGTGTGAGAAGGTTTTGAGTCAATTGTGCAAGTAGAGGGGGGCCACAGAGGCTTGTAGCTGTACAGTAGACAACTACATATACAAGGTCATATACCTGACAGATGAGTAGTTATATGTTTAAATTGATTTGGTCCATTCTATTAATTATCTATAAGTAATTATAGTACTGGATGCTATGAATCTCAGTTCATGAGTGATTCATATGGAGATTGATTGTTTATGAACGCTGCCCCTTGTGAACAGAAATAAAACAGATGAAATTTTCTGCAGAATAAGGGAACTTGGGCAAGATTGATCCCAAAACAGCCAATCCTGCTTAATTTCTTACAAACAATTTGGCACCAGTTGTTCGGGAGGTTCGGGGCCCTACCTCCCTCCCCACCACCACCATTCTGTGCACTTTTCGAGTGATTTGGGGCCAGAGTTGTCAAAAGTGAACTCCATCTCCATTGGATTTTTTTGGAAAAATACAAGTACAAAAATATACTTACACTATACTTAACTACCTTAATTTCAATATTTTGAGTTCGCTTCATTAAAGAGAGGTTTGTCACATTACTACTATAACTTGGCTCAGTGTTACACTGAATGAAAATGGAGATAAGATATGAAAAGGTTCCAGGAATCTAAGTGACCCATCCGTTATATGCTAACTGGCCGACTTATTTATGGGCACAAATTTCAATCATCCGAAGGGCAAGATACAGACGATAAGAAAAAAAATTAACGTCGGCTTATACTAGAGAGATTTTCAAGGGATTAAAAGAATACAAAATGTCAAATAAAAGTCAGCTCGACAGATATATATAGTAACCTCAGGCGTGTCAGGTGTGTATGTAATATAGATATGATGTGATAAAACAAATCATCGGAATATATTTGTTATAACATATCAAATGTCAGCGTAACCCCGTGGTGTAAAATAATAACCTTTCCCATCCATCCATCAACTACCACATTTCCGCTTTTATCATTCATGCTGCTACTTTGACACAAGCTTCAGGAAAGTGTGGCGATTTGCATGCTACTATTTCACTTATACTTGTAAATAGACCATGTGTTATCTCGTATTTTGTTAATTACTTTATACCCAAATGTAAGCTGTGGTTTTTAGAATTCATATTATCGTACGTTTCACTTTTCCGAAACAACTATTTGGCCTGTGTCTTAATATCACATCACTCTCACACATAGTTTTTTGCAAGACTCGCTGGACGCTCCATTTTAGTGCCATTCTCTTCAAAATCGAATAGTACTACAATCCTTGAATACATTTTCATTGTTGGATCCTTCAACTCATTTCTGCACTTTATCATGTATCATCTACTTTCTCTGAACCATGTGATTCTACAGTACTCCTTCTTAATCAACGTTCACAAGGTTTCTCAAACTATACAGATCTTTTCAATCGGTCTACAAACGGATACCCTACAAACTATGTGATATCTGTATCGAGAGGTAAGAATTGAATCTTGTTTGTTAATAAAGACTTCGGTATCGTTGAACAATGTATTCAACAATATATAGGCATGCATTATTACCAAAACTATCAATTCTAAATCGTTTTTCACATAATTAATAATGATTTGGAAATATTCTAACCGCCAGTTTTGATCGTCGTTAATTAATAAGAAATACACTTACTTAGGCGCCTACGTCTTTTGTTTTGAATATCACATTGGGCTTACAAATCATAGAATAGAAAATAACTAAAACTAAAGTCCTGTTGACTTGGAGCAGGAACATTATATTGCATGAAAAAGGTCGTTAGCTAAAAGAAATCAATTGTAACTCTTTCAATACAACAACTTTGAATCCATTCATGAACTAATTGGCGACGTGTGTTTAAGTGTTACTTACCATGTTTTAAGTAATACCATGAAGTGATTGTAACTGCTTTGTCCTGATGTTCAGTTTTATGTGATTTCTCTGTTTGATCTTATTTAATCTAGTTATCGTTAGATTAGAATCTAATCTGTAATCCCCGTCGAGCTCAACTCCGTTTCTTTGGCTGTATAATCTGGATTTGTGTTTTATAAGATTCTTTCTTACTTAATGTTCAGTTTGTTTGTGAATGTTTCATGAATCCTAACAACAGAAGTTCTGAGGATTGTATTGATTTTAACAGCGACTCTTTTATGATCTTTCTGAAATTCTCAACTCTATGTTTGCTTAATCTAAAGTTTGCAAACTTGTCTTTCAACTGAAGTTCAATGCTGGTGTGTCCTGACTGAATAGTTCAAATGACTCTAAATCGAACTCAATGTGTACCTAATCGATCTGTGATATTTTAAGTCCTCGTAATTTTAAATATTTCGGTGTTTCTTACACATGTACTTTGACGTAACCGAGCATAATTTTGCTCAAATTTACCCCTGCTAGGAAACGTTTGACATCTGTAGTTTTCGATCAAGTTTTAGGTCACAAGTACGCTTATTTACGACCACTTCGGGCTCACCCGGTAAGCATCTGAGAATAACCCCTCTAAACGGTTCCTAACAATACTAAGTGACTAATTCTACTTCTGAAGGAACACCTTTAGAATTGTCATCATAATAAAAGTCGTGAGTAATGAAATACATACCTGTCGATATTTGAATGATCACAAATTAGCTCGCCTAATTACCACAAGATGACAATTTCAACAAAGTGGTCGTAAAACTTTTGTTTTAGATCTTAATTGAAGTGTTTCTAAATTGAATGACAACGTACTCGAACTTACTTTAAATGATCGATGAATAAGATAAGAATTTAAACTTACCTAGAAATTCTGTATTTTGCTGATCTAACAAAATATTATGATTATTCTGATCTAATTCGGAATCTAAATTCGAAATGGCGATTAAAATAAATATTTTTCTTTTATATGGCTCCTACTTTGCTGCATCCTCCTAGAGGCTCTCGATATTTATCAATAAATCGTTTTTATTAAGTACATATGTATTCAAGACTAAATATTCAAAACATAACCTTTAAACTTCCCCTTAGTAATTACATTTGAGACCTTTATGTTTGAGTTTAATAACGGGTGTGTAACTGAAATATATTCATTAGGAACGTGATCCCTTTATTAAGCTATTATATAAATGACATCACTTACCGACTGTTTAACACCTGTACAGATCTATTGTAAAAACCCGGGTGTAAAAAACAACGTGAAATTTGTGTGGAACTTCATGTAAAGAATGGAACAAACATTTATCTCCCCATTCATTGAGAATGAGGCATTTGTGATAAGTAAAAATGTGTTCATGACACTTGCATGTCTACAGGGTACATAACCACTTAGGCCATAAGAAGTAGATTCTTTTTGAGTAAATCAGGAAAAACAAACACATCCAAATAACAATTACAAAGGTCTGAAAGCTAATACCATCGCATTTCGTTCAATCAGAATCAGACGAAATGGCGGATAATTTGATGTGCGTCAAAATTGACAGTGTTTCTTATTTTTTACCCTTGAATATTAGCTATGCTAGGCAGAATCAGATCTATAGGGGTGACAAAATTACAAGCAACTTTTATAATTGACCTACCAATCTATTCCTTACAATATCAAATACAATATCTCCCAATAGATTCACAATATGTTATAAATTGGTGAAGTTATTAATGACGCAAAGTGCAAAAATGGGTGGAAAATGTTTAAATTCTCCCAAATAATAAGAATGGTAACCATTCTTATAGAAAAATAATACATTATTGTAAAAATCTTTAGTTATCCGTGAATAAAGTATGCAATTTTGTGATTTTTAGAAAATAGACATGACAAGGAATGATATGAGCCAAAAATATTCTAAAATTGAGACAATTTTTTGTTTAGCCTGCTTGCTATATCTGATTCTCTCTTTAAATATAATGGATAAAATGTATAGATATGTATTTGTAATCACTGCAAATGGGTATGTCATCCCTTTTACGCCAATTAAATGTATACATTTCCCAGCAAACAAGTCTGTGTTTTTTCGTGAGTTTCTGTTTGTTTTCCTTGTACCCTTGCATGATTTGGATTTTGCCAGGACGCAAAACAAAGAATCTACTTCTTATGGCCTTATTTTTATTCACGCATTTTAGCAATCAAGTAAATACAAAAAATGATGAAGCTGTGAAATTCAATTTAACTTATTTAATTATAAAAAAGGTATTTGCATTAGAAAATAACTTTATTTCATAGAGGATTGAGTTTTAATAAAAAGCACAAATAAGCGTAAATTTTTCAATTAAACAGTATGATATTCCTTTGTCGAATAAGTCAACGATGTATTTAATGTGTATCCACTTATATACGTTTTCCACTTATTGTAAAAACAACCAAAGGGATATCATTTTCTTCTACCGAATACGATTTTTTATTCAAAAAGTATATTTATTCCATTTAGTCACATTACAAAAAATGTTGATTTGGATTTCTACCTCATACAGATTTTTAAATACATAACATACTTTTGTAGGTTATGAAGTAGAAAATGCCCAAACCGCATCAAAGTGTTTATATATTTGAACAATCACCGAAAAGATAAGTTAAGTATAGGAAGAAGATTATAAAAATATCTTATATTTTGATTTATACACGTATCCCAACCACATATAAGCACAGATTTTAGAAATCCTGAGTGCTATTGTTTTTATTCTCCATATTTTGAGATATTTTCTCAGTTATTATTTAATTAACATTAAAGCATGCCTTCATTTTGCTGTTTATACCAAATCATATACGTCAGGACGGTGAGAATCAGGCCAAAAACATCATTAAATCAAGATCAATATTTTCACATATCTAAAAATGATTTTTTAAATGTTAATATGAAAATCATAACTTTGGGGGACCCAGGCCCGTAGCCAGGGGGGGTTCGCAGGGTTCGGGCGAACCCCCCCCCCCTGGCCAAAAATTCTTTCAAAATCATGCAGTTTTTCACCATTTTGAGCACTTCTCTTGTGATTTTAGCCATATTTGGGCCAAAATTGTCAAATGTGAACCCCCCCCCTGGAAATTTTTGAAAACTGAACCCCCCCCCCCACTTGGCAAATCCTGGCTACGGGCCTGGGACCATTAACCATATTGAACAATTAACTCTAATAGATCAAACGCAATAATAGCTAATTGTTTGCTTTTTAACTGACAATGGTTGTTTTTGAATTCTTTCGTTGCCAAATTGAATTTATTTTAGATAAAGAAATGAACTCAATTTTGAAGTAGCACGGGTCAAAGTGTCGAACGATCTTCAAAGATGATGCATAGAAGAACCTCTACTTGAAAAATAAAAGGAATATATATGAGCCTATTTTGTGTTATCTCGTTAATTAGAATACTATCTTATTAATAAGAATTATAAATTCTAATAAAACATAGCACCTGTTGCGCTAATTGGATATTTTTATTATTAAAAATATAGAGGTTAAGGGCGCCATCCGTTCACACAGAATTTATCAGAGTGGGCTCTCCTATTCTCTTGGTGATAATATTACTGGTCAAGTGGTAATAGAAATGACCCCTTACGTGCTAAGTACTGTATCTCGCCACCCCTAAACTTGAGAGACGTCGGAGTAGAAAACATCTCTCCGATTTAGATATAGATTAAGCTAAAGTTCAACCCACTCAAATTCTTCACCGATAAAACCATTTAAGCCCAAACACTTTTTTTATGAAAACGATATTTATTTTGTTAAATGTTTACAATAAATTGATATTCTCTGAACAACGAGTCTTTGTTTTTGGGGGATTTTATCGTAGTTAAATTAAGTTTAAGGTTGAAAAAGTAAAATAAACGTACATCTCATAAAGTTGATTCTTTCAACATTTCGGCACGTCTCGGCATCGAGTATGCAAGTGAATTGATTAAACTTACGATATGTATTGTCTTTAGTTTACTAGATTACTAACAAAACATTTCTTTCATTTTCTTCTTGTTCCTAGCAAAGAAAGTCTCAAGATCAAGCCAAAGACATAAAAGATATCAGAAAGTCCTTCAATGGATTTACTTTTCAATGACAACAGAAAGTACATGTAGGTCAAACAGACATAAAATGAAGGTCAATTTCAAGATTATTTCCATTTTGCATCAAATCTATTTTGCTACTGAGTGGCCATTTTGAAAAATGATAGCCATGGTTGTTTAATGGGATTTACTAAACCTTGGCATTGCTGTTATGTAGTTATTTTTATCATGAAACATTAAAATATGTTGAGCAATTTGAAAAAAAACAATATGAAAAAGTAAACCAAGGTCAGCCTTCAGATCAGATTATGAATGAGAAACAGAAAGAATTTGGACGAGATATGATTTTTTGACATGGCAATATTGCATTGATGTTCTCTCTTACGTATCAGTCACATTTGCAAGCAACCACACGGCGGCCGTAGCTTCCCAAAATCGAGAGAAATGGGCAGCGATTTGTGAAAATAAAACTGTCGTACGCCCGCCTTAGAGCAAAAGTGACTGAGGCTTGGGCATCTAGTGTATATTATGCACATTGTAAAATTATAGTAATCATAACAAATAAATAGACGGGGGAAGAGTCAATATTTAATAAAGTCACTCAATCTCAAGGTCATTCCCAAATGAGAGCAATTAAAAATGTAGTGTAGAAACTTTGTTCCTTTATATTTTATACATTTCTGAGCTCATATAAAATGCAATTCCAACCGAATCGAGCCACAAACTAGCCTTTGCATTCGTTCTACTCCACTTCTTAAAAGAGAGCTTCGTCTTCGTTTATAACTAGACTCTGCGCGCAGGGTAGCCACAGTGGTGCCAATTTCAAGGTTTTGTATTAATAATCCTGAATTTTAAAATTCAATGTCAACGTCAAAATGTGGTTACATGGCTAACCAACAAAACCGAATTTAACACCACATTCCTCACTTGAATTAATTAAGGTATTGAATACGATGTGGTTTCTCACCACCATCTGCTTAAATATTTACCCTCACACGAGTTCGATTCAACAAAGTATAGAGACAATCTTTGTTCTGATATTCATGGATGTGAAAACATATCTTCACATCCATGATATATCGAATTGAAACACAACACATTCATACACATATATCCCCCAGGCATGCATTTATCATTTTAAAAGCTACATTTTGGAAAGTAAGACTTTTATCAGCATCAAAAGTAAAATCATCTTAATAGTA